GCAAAATGTTTTACGTGCCGTTAAAGTTACGAACGTTTTCCGAGCGTAAAAAGTATTTAAATAAACAATAATTATTATAGCCCTTTATATTCTATTAGTATGATTTATTTTGTACCGGAACTGATTTTTAATGTAATACGCCATTTTTGGATAACAAAATGTTGTTTTTGTAAAGCTATGTATATAGGTACAATAACTCAAATTTAGATTAAAAGTACATTAGTTTAAAGTTTATATTTATATAGTAATGGCTTACGGTAATTACATATACAGTGAGAATTTGAATATGAATTTATTTAAATTGAATATATAATGTTAAAATCTTTGTTATATTATAAGCAGCTAGCCCCGGCTTTGCACGGAGAATTTTTTACATTTTATTTTATCAATAAGCATTTAAGTAAATTATATGCTACAAACAGTTTATTTCTCATCTTTTGATTCAGGGGTTTGGTCTGGATGTTAAAATACCAATTAAGATAAGTGACTTTATAAGTAGGTAGATGGGTTTTACAATATGCGTACACAAACTTATTCCTGAAACAACATGACATGTACTTATCTAATATATTTAAACGAGCAATTTGTATATTTGTAATCTGAATCTCAGAAACGGCTCCAACGATTTTCATGAAATTTAGCATACAAGGGGTTTCGGGGGCGATAAATCGATCTAGATTAGTTTTATGTCTGGGAAAACGCGTGTTTTCGAGTTATCATGCAGTTTGCATAATTCCACGAAAATATGGTCGCTAATTCGCACGCGAGAACATAAGCATCGTGGTCAAGCGGTCAAGTCGCAAGCTTGACAACCATAGGGTCTGGGTTCGTATCCTGGGCGGATGTTTTTACTTTTGTTTTATTATTTTTTTACTAATTTTTAGTTTGTTTTTTTTTTAAATGTTGTTCTGGCCAAAAACGGCCGCCCAAGTACTGTATGTTAAGTACGCTTCAAGTCACAAGTTAATTTAAATATGTATCATTTCATTTTCATATAAATCTGACGTTTAGTAAATATCTGACCTTCGTCCATCTGTTTAGCACATAAAAGGTACATATATTTATATGTAAGTGACCTTATTTTATTCGCCGATCCAGAGCCGGATATACTCGTAGAAGTCTAAATAATTTTGCATTGAGATTAAAGAAGATATTTTTGCATTTCTTTCAGTTTTCCAAATATAAGAGGAACTACTAAAAATACATTTAGTGTAAATATGATATTTAGAATTTACATGGCCGGCTCTGAGGCTACATGACTGTGACATAATTATTATGCATAACCAAATAGAAGTACACATTGCCAGTCAAACACATGTGTCAAACACATTATTGTCTACAGCTTTGAAATAATTATTTCAACTTGTCTATCTATACATATAATAAAATTGTAACTAAGCAGAATCTGTGCATTAAATATTTTTTGGAAAATCTTATTGAAATAAACATTATTATCGATACAGAATAAATAGTTTTTAATTTTTTTGTCTGTCTATCTGTCCGTCTGTGTCTGTTACCGCAGCACAGAAAAACCACTGGAGGGATTTCAATAAAATTTGGTATAGTGATAGCTGGTTATTCGGGTCAACATATAGGATACTTTTTACCGCGGGAAAATATCGGGATTATACTAATATGTAAAACCTAAGAATTTGGTTTTTGGTCATCTTAATGCGGGCGGAGCCGCGGGCAATGCTAGTACTTAATAATATTCGCTGATAAAAAAAACATTGTATTGAGCAGAAAGTTTTGTATAAATGAACTGATAGCTGTTTAAAGTAACTTTACCTTGTTTTGAAAAACCTGACGCCTATTTGCTCATTACTCCGCGAGTTTCATGTGCTTCTTAGTTAATAATAATGTGTAGAGTACCTAATTTAGTATATACTAAGGTTAAAAGTAGAGAAAAGAAAAATTACATTTATATGACAAACTAGCATTGCCCGCGGTTCCGCCCGCGTTCAAATGAGAAAAACCTTATTCTTAGGTTTTACATATTCGTATACTTTAACATTGCAGTTTTTGTATTTTTTCTTAGAAATGAGATATTTTCCCGCAGTAAAAAGTGTCCTATATGTTGACCCGGATAACCAGCTACCACCATACCAAATTTCATCAAAATCCCTCCAGTGGATTTTTCGTGATGCGGTAACAGACAGACAGAAAGACAGTCAGAATGACAGACAGACAGACAAAAATTCTAAAAACTACAGATTTAGCATCTGTATCGATAATAAAGACTATTTTAATAAAATTTTCCAAAAAATATTCTATGTACAGATTCGGTTTAGTTACGATTTTAATATATGTATAAGAAAGCTTTTATTTACATAGATTTCCAAATTACTTTTTTCTTCATATATGACTTGTACCTACTAATAATTATTAAGTGTATATTTGTTATGTATAGATGATTTTATTAACTATATTTGTAATTTCAGTATATTTTCCTTTTTTTTTTTGTAGATAGGGTACCTATCTACTGTTCTATTAATAGGCAAAGAATTGTTTCTCTAACTCATAAAGAGAAAAAACGTGTTGTTTTTTTATTCGTTCATGATTTTTGTGAAAATTTTGTTTATCTTATTAACTGTGGACTGATTGGACATACTTGTACATGTTATGTTTAATAAGCATTGCCTGAGTTGTTTCAGTTCGATATCCTCATGAGGTAAGAAGGATAAATATTGTTGTAGAGTTGTTACCAAGGAAAGCATGAATATTTTATAGGGAAAATAAATATGAAATCAGAAGTAAAGTATTTCACAGGCTATTTGTAACAATAATGGACCTATAATAATTATAATACTCGTAAAGCTTAAGTATCATTTAATTAAGACAAATCGGTTCAAGCTAATTGATGTAATAAATAATAATTTATAAATTTCCATTTAACTTAATTCTTATTACTCGTTGTGTTTCTAACTTTCTATGTACGTGCTTGTAACAAGAAACACTATCTAGATTGTTAAGCATACGGAAGCAATGTTAAGTAATTTTTTTATCAAGTTCGGTGATCGGAATCTATATTCGATTTGTCGTCTGTGACTAAGAGTCAGCTGCATGCTATTTGAAGGCAAGTCGCAATAAAGCCGTTAATAGATGGTTGTATAGATTTACGAATATATTCTTAGTTCACCTCGCCGTATTTTAGATTTAAATGATGATATATGACATTGTTATTAGAAGAGTTTGAACATCGATATTTAAAAATACTTTTTCTAAGATTTCTTAAGAAATTATATAATTTTTTTCCTCTTTGGCTTTTGACTTAAATAAATATTATATGTACAATGTTTGTTTCTCTAAAAATCCGATATGATGATTTATCTCGAACAATAGTTATACATATAAGTTACTTTTAATGTTCCATAATAATAATTATAGAACATTAAAAGTAGCTTATAATTATGTATAATTAGAAAGATAATTATAATTATGTAAAACAATATAATAATAATAACGAGAATAAATGGGAGAGTGGATATTGGTAATTAGTGCTAATTATACCTGCAGCCTGCAACTAGTTATATTATAATATAGATAATGATTATTCAAAAAATAAAAACCAATCACAATATCCTGGAAAGAATCATCATAAGTTCATAATTAATTTTCGGAATAAAATTAACGTTTTTTGAGTATTTGTACATTAATGAGGTTTTTCTAGCAATATAATTACATCAACCTCGCTAATGCCTACCGAGGGTTGGCGGCCTTGAGAAGGGGGTGGTTTTACGATGCCTTTGTCCTTCTATAATTATTTAAATTATAAATTGTTTTCGATTAAAACAACGATTACGGTACATTTTAATTAGTTGCCTTTACTAGGGAGAAAATTTAATATGACTTAAAATATATTCACTACGTAGCTATATTATGTAAGGTAATAAAAAAGTTTAGTTTTTTCAGCTAACCTTATTTATGAATATTTAGAGGTTTTAAGGTGACATTTCATTTTTATTTTTGGAGTAAACTCTGAACTTGATACAAAAATCATGCTACCATTATTGGAAATATTAATGTTATAATACATATTACTTGAATTCGATTGAAAATTAATTAAAACTATCTTTTCGAATTTTTTCGCGGATTTATTTTGATTTTTTGTTCCTGACGTTTCGAATGCTTTACAGTAATCATAATCAACGGGATTAATCACGGGAGAGACAGCCCGTTTAAAAGATTCGAAAAGATACTTTTATAAAATGTCAAATATTCGCGTAAATCTAAGAAAGTATTATGAAAATTAATTAGTTATCGAACAAACAATATATAAATATAATAAATATTTTTATAAAACTGTCCAAAACAAGAAAATAAGCAGTATAAATTTCTAGGTAAGAATATATGTCCCTTCTAGAGCGATAAACAATATTATGTAAATAACATCTAAAATTTTCACTCCAAGCTAGTTTGGTGTACGGTATAGTTAGTAAAATTGTTGTTCATACAAGTATAGTATAGTGAGAAATTTTTTGTCTCGTTCCATTGTACGGGGAGATATGGTGTTATCTTGTTCTGATGGCGCATAGTAGGACTCGGGCGCGCCGCGGCCTTTGCGTGATTCGTGGCCGTGTGTATGTATCGTAGTTGGTACATTCCGTTGAAGTAGACGCCGCGAGTTACCCGCGTTGTCGCCGACGGTCACGTGCGCGCCCCATACTTATAACTTTTGTTCCTTATTACAAATTCATTCATGTGTTTACTGTAAAATATAAATGGTGTTTGTATATGTATCAAGATGTAATACCTAAATGTTCATGTAATACTACACCGCATTTGGATTTACTCGCAGTGACTCAGTGTTTCCGAGTTTTAAGTGTTTTCGTCGACTGTGATTGAGACGATGTGATGTAGTTTAGTGCACCGTTCAAACGGATTACTATTATAAGCCCAGATCTGATTAGTTCGAATGGAACACGGATTTTTACATGTTATATTTTGGAGCTGCTACTATGGTTTTAAATAGTTATTTCCTTAATAAGAAATTTACCAAAATGAGCAATAGCAGGAGCTGGCAGTTGTTAACAATTGCGATTGGTTTTCTAATAACAAGTTCGAATGTATTGGCAATAAACGATTCACCAGACACAGGTTTGAAAACTTTATATTTAGTCTTCCCGATTAACTGATGTATTTAACGTTTCAGATTTATGAACGAATCTGTCCATATGCTAACTGACCAATAATTAATCAAACTTGGTGCATCTTGTTCTGTTATCAGTGTAGATATCAAATCTATTTCAAATGTTGTTTTAAATTATAAATATAATCTACCTACATGTGAATAGGCAAACCTTTAAATTAACATACTATAAATAACAGAGTAAAAGTATAAAGATTAATATTTACTAATATGAGAAGTAATTTCCTCTGCATTACCATGAACTTAATTAAGTAAAGTAAAAAATTTAAGCTTCCATAATAAAGACTAGATACAAGACTAAAATATATCTTAAAAACTGAGTAAAATTATGTCGACAGCTGCTTTCTAATAGAATGAAGCAGAACACCTTTCATTTCGGTCTTCGTTATACCATTAAAATATTTGGTTATTAGCATTATTTTTAAAATATTTCAATTTAAATATAAACAGTTGAAAAGGTTTTGATATATTACACTGATATTGTATGAATGGCAAGGAAAAGTAACAACACAGTTACCGACTCTTACTTCGTTCTCTCGGCAAAAGCCAGTAATTGCTAACTCGTTTCTAAATAATGCTTGGTATTGAAGTGAATATAATAGTGTAATATACATTGTACTTTGGGATGCAAGCGGTTTCTACTGCTTAGTTAATGGGAACAATCTGGACAGCTTTGTGAGTATTAAATGCTATGCCAACAATAGTGCTAACAAATGTGCACGGGTAAGACTTGCTGAATGTTATCAACTTTATAATGTAACTAATACTCTTATTTGAAACCATGCACCATGAATTCTATTCAGATTGAGATATTACGTTTGAATGGAAAATAAAATATCTATTTTTACTTTTGGCTAATCTTCAAGAAAATACCTACATTTGATATGATATGGATCAAAACTGTCGTAAATATTATCGGGTGTTTATCGGCCAATGAAAAGTTAAAAGGCAAACGAAAAAAAAAGTTTGTTTATGTAAAATATGATCGCTTTTATAACATAATATTATTATTATTTATAAAAAAAACTTACTTCTTTTTTTTTCAAAAGAAGGTCTTATTACTCTAATACACGGGCCTTAACCTAGTGTGCTAGAATTAAAAATTAGTGTGTGTAGAAGTACAAGAGATCGTTACTCAATATTATTATTATTATTGGCTAAAACAATACATATTTATTGTAAGAAAATATGATTAATAATTTCTTAGATTTACGCGAATATTTGACATTTTAAATAAAATATGATTAAATTATCTACATATTACATTAGGTTTGTGTGCTAGCCGTAAAACCTTTTTGGTCGCACTATTTATAAATATGTTGAATGAAGTTGAATCATAGAGTTCGTAAGCGTCTGAGTCTGAACAGATTTCTCTTAGTTCCACGGTAAAGGCTTCTTGGCGCGTCGTTTTCATGAGTCATAAAATGTCTACAGATAATACAAATTAGTTAAAGCAAATATGATTCATTATTGATTCTATAGTTAAGGGAGTTATTGTAGAGTTAAACAAAAAGTACATTAGCTTGCAAAGTAAAGTATTTTTATAAGGCATATTTCTTTTAGTGTATAGGCTCTATGATAATTTTATCTGGTTTGTTTCAAAATATTTAAGTACCTACTATAAAGTTTGAGAAATGATTACAAAATATGATAATTATTTATTTGATAGCGGCGCTTAGTAGAGAGCAGTTTCCACAGCGTATTTCTAATCTATTCTTTCTTATAGTAAAAGCTAGACTTTCCCTCGTTTTGCTCGGGTGTGTTCTTTGGTGCCTAGTATGACTATCTACTGAATTTCATCGAAATCCCTACAGCCGTTTCAGAGTAACAAATATACACAAATACAAACTTTCGTATTTATAATAGTGGTTAGATTTAGCAATATACTATCTGTTAAGAAATAATTGTTCTAAGCTACTCTCCGAAATCTGCTAATTTTGAAACGTACTCTTAGAGCCCCTCGGGCTCGAGGCACTTGGCATTTTGCCATTCTTTTCATCCTATAGTAACGCTACTGTTTTCATTATATCCGTCTGCGCACGTACATACGTAAATTATAGTGTACCATGCCTGTTTAATGTTTTAAAAATTAAAACTGAAGTAATTTTTTTAAAGGCAGTGGAAGTAATTAAAAGTTCGCATTTGACGTGCACTCTAAGTGATTTTTTGCCTTGGTCTATTAAATTGTTTTTGTCTATATTAATGTGGTTAATGTTTTTTATCTTGATATAAGACGTAGACAATATTCACATTTCATATTTTATTATTATAATCACACTAACTTAAACCACTATATGGCTAGATATTTTATATAGTAATAGCGACTCACTCTCGCTCCGCTCGGGTTCGTCCTTACTGTCGTTTTAACGTTTAGTATATATTTCTCAGAGATGAGATAATTTTCCACAATAAAAAGTATCCTATATGTTGACCCGGATAACCAGGTATCATCATACCAAATTTCATCAAAATCCCTCCAGTGGTTTTTCCGTGATGCGGTAGACAGACAGACAAAAATTCTAAAAACTATAGATTCGACCTTTGTATCGATAATAATGTCTATTTTAATAGGATTTTCCAAAAAATATTTAATGTGCAGATTCGGCTTAGTTACAATTTTATTATATGTATAGACTAGACATATTATTTTTATATATAAACTAGCATTGCCCGCGGCTCCGCCCGCATTCAGATGACTAAAATCCAAACTCTTAGGTTTTACATATTAGTATACTCTTACATTGCAGTTTTTGTATTTTTTCTCAGAAATGAGATATTTTCCCGCGGTAAAAAGTATCCTATATGTTGATCCGGATAACCAGCTATCACCATACCAAATTTCATCAAAATCCCTCTAGTGGTTTTTCTGTGATGTGCTAACAGACAGACAGATAGACAGACAAAGATTCTAAAAACTAGATACGGCCTCTATATCGATAATAATGTTTGTTTCAATTAGATTTTCCAAGAAATATTTAATGTACAGATTCTGCTTAGTTACAATTTTATTATATGTATAGATTGGAGTAGTAGACTATATTACAAGTGAGGGGCTAATGATAATGTATTGTATTAATGAATGACTCAGATAAGTTTTCCTTGAATTACGTTGACATAATTTCATGTAATGATATTGGTATGATATAGTTATAATTTTACACAAAAATATTGTAATATTACAAAACTATTTAGTGATTTACCGACGTTGTTATTCCCTCTGTGTTTAAAATGAGATATTGTTAACATCTGTACTGCGTATTCAAAAGCAATAGCTTATTACGTATGTAGCACAAAATACAAACAAAATACCTAAGCAGTTTTTTGTAAGTTCTATTAATAATAACATACAATCCCACCAACGTCGTATGTTTTTTTCTTGTTTAAAGCATTAACGAAATAGTGATCGTTTGAAGGTTAACCGTTGAATACTATGTGCATGGATTTAAATTGCTTGAAAATATTCGTTAGTAACATTTTCCTACAAGGCAAATTATTTACCATCTAGATATATGGTAACATAGTAGGTATAGATATATAATTTAAATACAGGGACTTTACAAGTACAACTTATACACACAATATTTGCAAATATATCAAGTTAAGTTTGCTAACAGACAACCAAGTCACAGTTAAGTTTAAAGTAGACTTTACGGGATTATTAAATAGTAGGCACCCACCCTCGTTCCGCTCAGCTTTGTCCCTAGTTACGTTTTAACGTTCAGCATAGATTTCTCAGAGATGAGATATTTTTCCGCAGTAAAAAGTATCCTATGTTGAAAATCCCTCCTGTGGCTTTTCCGTGATGCGGTCACAGACAGACAAAAGACAAAAATTCTAAAAACTATAGATCCGGCCTCTGTATCGATAATAATGTTTATTTTAATAAGATTTTCCAAAAAAATTTAATGAATAAATTCGACTCAGAATTTTATTGTATCTATAGATTTATTAAATTACCTAAGAATAATAACTTAATTTGCAAAATATTATAAGAATACTAGCGTTTCAGTGACTTGAGGTGGAATTTCGACCATAATTATAATTAAACACTTAAGGAAAACGTATATGAATAGAATTTATCTATCTAGATATAAAAAATAGCTGTTTTCAAATTTTCATTGATAATACTGAAACTCGTCAATAATAAAATCAAATTCTAACATCTATAGCGTTAATTATAGTCTAAACAATTTGTACATTTAATTCTTATACGATATCACAGATTCAGTTTTTGTGGCAGTAAAATCTTACAATTATTAAACATACTTAATAATGCTTCAAACTACTGCAAAATTTTTTTAATGTTGCTCAAGATTTTTTTTGCTGGAAGTTCAGATACATTTTCTTCGATTTTGTTTTTTTGTTGTCTATTGTATTTTGAAACGACTCGTTGGTTTTTTTTGTGTACAGTAGAGCTATTGGTTCGGCTTCATTATTTTGGATAAGAGAGATATTTACAAAAAGCCTGCATAACAGTTCTTCCGCAAAAGCAATAAGTGCAGTTTTACTCAAATTCGAAATAAAAAAGTGTCTCAACCTAAAAGTCTCAGGACCCGAGACAACTTTTACAAAAAGTCCCGGGACTTTAAGACACAAGACGTCCCGGGACCCAATCCCTAGTTATACCTCAAGAGTAGCTTCATGTATTCAGCCCTTTTTAACGTCCCACTGCTGGGCACGGGCCTCCCTTCAATACGAAGGGGATCAGGCCATAGTCCACCACGCTGGCCAAGTGCGGGTTGGCGGACTTCACATGTCTTTCGAAAACTTGCTAAGTTCTCTAAGACATGCAGGTTTCCTCACGATGTTTTCGTTCACCGTAAGACAACTGGTAATCATGTTGGAAATGATTCGCACATGAAAATATCAGAGGTGCGACACCCGGGATTTGAACTCGCTTCACTCGGTTTCCCAAGCGAGCGCTTTACCACTGGGCCATCACTGCCTTTCCATTCCAGTAGTTCCATATATTTTTTATAAAAAGTTAAAATATTTTTTATTATTTTTCAAGGTGGTGTACCTGTTTTAGCAAAATAATCTATCTGCCTTAGTGGCTAAATCAATTATAGTAAAGTGTTATCTATACTTTTATACTATTAGGTATTATAAAGAGATAAAGTTTGTAAGTTTCATTACAACAAAGTATTAATTTCTTTTCTTAATTTATTATAAATACATTATTGAAAATTTGGGGAAAACATATATGAATAGAATTTAGCTATCTATGTATATCAAAAAACCTAAATGTTTTTAATTTTTGAAGTGAAAACTTGCATAGGCAGGTTTGGATGGGGAGTAAATTCATGTGAGTCGTCATCGACATGGTCACGTGACGTGCTAACGCTAACACTCAGAGTGCCGATAGATGTCAAAATCAGATACATAAATGTAAACAGTTTTAATTTAAGATCAAACAATTAATTTGAATATCCAAAAATAACAACTGTTTGTTTATCGTTTTAACTTTTCACTTCTTTCGGCAGTCCTTATGACTGCTTTTTCTTTATTTATAACACTAAAACTCATCAATATAAGTACAAAACACGAGAAAAAGGTGCTGATCTGTTTTGTGTTTGCCTGTTTATATATAGATTTAAAGATTTGTTTCATTCAAATAGTTATCGAAACTCTTAATATTAGTTTAAAAATAATAAAAATAAATTATATTACACAAACCTCGCAAGACTTTAATTGATATAGTTTTAATTTGCCTTTAGCGATTCATATACAAGTTATTTCATTACACGTAGACAAATAGTCGTCAAGCGATAGCCAACAAGCGGGCTGTCTCTTAACTACTAAATTGAACTCAATTTTAAGAATCAACTAGACCTTCTTATAATCGTGACTTATATGCAGTGTTTTTGTATATATTAAATAAGGTAATATGTATGTATATGTAGAAAAGTTATGTAATGTTTGAGAATGTGCAGATAATAAAAAAAAGGAGTATGAGCATGAGACGGACGTACATACATTATTATTATTATTATTATCTATACGCAATCGTTACTGCTCAATTTATATATGCGTAAGTAGAGGAATTTGATCATTTAGATTTAATAATATGACAGAGCATCTCTAACTTTAATATAATTATGCTAATCTATAGGTACATTACTTATAATAAAATTGTAACTAAGCCGAATCTGTACATTTGATATTTTTTGGAAAATCTTATTGAAATAAACATTATTATCGATACAGAAACCGAAACCGAGAAAAGTTTTTAGAATTTTTGTCTGTCTGTCTGTCTGTCTGTCTGTCTGTCTGTTGCCGCATCACAGAAAAACCACTGAAGGGATTTTAATGAAAGGTATGGTGATAGTTCTTTATCCCGATCAACATATAAGATACTTTTTACCTTGAGAAAATATCTCATTTTTGAGAAAAAAAATATAAAAACTACAATGTAAGAATATACTAATATGTAAAACCTAAGAATTTGGTTTTTTGTCATCTGAACGCGGGCGGAGCCGCGGGCAACGCTAGTTATAACTAAATTTATTTGTAGGTAATTAGTAAGTGGTATTTGGAAGCCAGACTTAAAATTATTACCACATAGGAAAACAAACAAAATATCGTGTGCAATTCTATTAATAATATTAAGTGCTTAATGTAATATAATATGTACTATACATATTGTAACATAATATACGCAACAATATTTTCATAACTGATAGACATAGTGCATAGTCTAAAATCTTATTTAGTATCAAATATACATATATATATGTATATATATGTATATATATAGCATAGACTTGTGCATAACTCATATTAATAACTTTTTCTCTTTACAATGAAAGTATTTTTGAAAATGCATTCCCAAAGAAAGTTAAATAGGGCATGAAAGTTTGTATGGAGGAATATTTTTTTGGAAGTGACAGATAGATAGATAGCTTGTAAATCGCAGAATGATTTTTTTATGTTAGTATACCAAATGCTAGGTTCAGGATAATAGCCGGTTAATAAAACATACTTAGATACTAGTTTCGAATATATTTTTCTTTATCAATAAACTTATTACTTAAGTAACCTCATTTATACGTAAGCGTTCTTTTCTCGTTATGCTAACTGGAGGAAGTATTTTATTCCACAATAATTTTAGTTACAGGATGTGTGATATCTTAATGGACCCATCCGGTCGACATCAACATACATGCACTCTATAACATCTCTTAGCAAATGTATATATAGAAAAATAAAAATAACAGTGAAATTTATTCAGTATTGTTATTTATATTATGTATTTAATTTATTGAATATTATATATATATATATATATATATAAGAAATAAAATAATTAACCTATAGCAAGTAAATTTTTTGTCAATCTTAATAGAAACTCTGCTAAACAAATAATCATAGAGTAAAGAAATTTATTAACGAGAATTATTAACGAAAACCACGGGATCCTAATCACTTAATTGACCGGTTTTCTAGTAGTTGATGGGATCAATTGTTATCAGCTAGCGCCGGTATTCTTTGCCAACGTACTGGTAGGATTAATTTTCCGAATGCTGACCACGCCTTTGTGACTTTGACCACGCCACACCCTGAACGTCGACTAATTAATAGTGTTTTCAATACATACCTGTCGTCACTTCTCATGTTACATCTACCATTAGCATGATAAGCTCGTCTGCTCTGAAACGTCCCTCGTCATCATATTTATTTACCCCCTCGATTGGCACACTGAAACTCTAAACTAACTCTTGTCAAGGTTGTTAATGTTTGTCTTCCTTACATGATTAACTACTTGTTATAGATGACATTAAACGTACGTTGATAAATTGGCGGTGGGAACTTTTCCATGAAAGCCTTATTTTCTTTCCACTTTCGAAGGTGTGGTTGCATTATTGAACGACTACAAGTACCGTGTCAGTACAGTTTATTAACTAATCAGTATCCTAATACATATATGACTTTATATGGGCAATATATAACTTTATATGCGTGAATAACTTAGTAAAGTATAATATGTAATTTATTTTTAGTGTCTATAAAAGCCCATTACCTCTTGGTTTCAGATATAGAATTGGGTGGCCCAATAATTATTCCAAATAAAAGTGAAATAACATTGAAAAAGGGGCAAAATTATACAGTATTCTGTAAATCAAACTATTCTATCAAAATAGAACAACAACAAACTCCAGAAGAAATAGTAGAACCATTCCGTAAAATACAAAGAAACGTGACGAGCTCAGATAACATATATAAATATGAAATCGCGTTAGATTTATACAATGTTAATCAGTTTGCTGTCGGTTATTATGCTTGTTACGATAGTACTATAAATGGCAGTGATATATTCAAAAACATGCTGGATGAACCGGCTAATACGAAACACATTTCCTATATTTACATCTATGTCGATGGTGAGACATAACGTTTTTTAAATAATTTCTAAATTTTAACATATTCCATTTATATATAATTATTAAAACTTTTAGAGACGGGTACCTTACTAGCGCCAATGAGTGAAGTCGTTATAGCGCAAAACAATGAATCTATAGTAATTGAATGTAGACCCACGACACCTGATGTAAATGTTACTTTGTATGGGGTATGTATCATACACTAAACCACCACAACTGAAGAAACCATAAATCTTTAACGAATAAAATAAATAGCTTAGTTCACTTTACAATGTTTATAAGCAAATGAAATAGCTTGTAGTATTCATGCATGAAATTGCAACTATACCTATAGATAATAATGATATTTGTCAAATGGGCCAACGTTTACTGTTTATAATTTGTATGTCCAAAAACGCATGGGAATATGAACGTTGTCTCATTGAGTACTTTCAAAGAACTAACGCTTTACGCTGCGAGCCATAAGTTACTAAAGCATGGAACTACTTTAAAATTATCATTTGCTTTAGATAATTTTTAACAAAGTTCTTAATATTCAGGAATTTGCAGACACTGATTACCAACCATATAGTTTTAGTCCCAAAATTGGATTTACCATAGATAACGATGCCCTATTGGATGTTACACTAAACATTTTCTATTGTAGCTTTGTGGGACGAGGCTTAAGGGAATCAAAAGACGTTTTTGTAAATAAACGTAGGTGATTAGATGATGTACGAATTTACCTAAACGTACCTACTGCATTCATTGCAAATATATATATGCGATATGCTTGTATTTTATTTTATATCTTATGTACCTACAATAAGTAGCAATGATTTTTGTAATGGATGCAGTTTGAAATGTTTTTCAGTTTTATCACAATCAAATGATAAACAAATGGTTAATACAAAATTATTATTATAACACATAAAATTGAAAAACATATTGACGAGGTAACCATTTTCTTACTAACAAAACATTATTTATTTGGTAATACGATAATAGCAGCCGAGTAACGAGATAATAGAACATTTAAAGTACTCTCCAAAGATTGGATTTTTAGTACAAGAGCGTAGCTCACGTGTTTTCCAATGCCAAGGACAACAAGGAAATAAAACAGTTCGGAAAAAAAATATAACTTGTAAGTAGATAGTATTGCTATCTTGATGTCACATAACGAAATAGAGTGGTGTTATGGTTTCATTCAATATTAAAACAACTTAATTCTTTTCGTGCGTCGGCTTGCTGCTTATAATTTCTTCCTTTCTTCTTAACTGTGTTGCTCTGATTGATCTGTGTGCTCACTACGTAATGTATTAAAACTAATTTACTAACCTAAAATAACATTTTTTTGTTAATTTTGTAGATATGATTATTTTTTATTATTTATTTTTTTTGTGTTTATTTTTAGTATATTTTAATTAATAACACTCAAGTATTTTATCTTAACTCGTTTCGCACTGGAGATATATCGTAGATCGGTTTGAATTTAAATAAGCATAAAGAACGTCAACTGCTTAAGAATAAAATTTAATTTTATTCTAAATTCATAATGACTAGGTATGTTGTTTATCATGACACGTGTTTGTTCTGTTGTATGCAAATTACGTTTACGATATCGATATCCAATTGTCCAGTGCGAACGAGATGATTTTGTATGTAAGTTTTAAAAATTGGGTTTCGTATATAGAAAATTTATAAAAGAAATTTTATATTATAAAATATACTTAGATGTTAATTAAAAAAAAGGTAGACGTTACCTATTTCACAGAAAAATTTAAAAAATAAAAAAAAAACGACATAGTATCAGATTTATGTACGGAACCCTTATAGATTATTATAAATATAGTAGGGATGCCCTCATGCGTGCGTATTTTAATAAAACAAATATCGCAGACATCGATACCGATACATTTAGGGCATTTGCACTTAGGTTTTATTTGATCGAATCAAATTTATTATAAATTGAAAACAGGGTTAAAGTGATATAAGTTAGATATTTACCTCAAAAAAGTTTTAAGTTTAATAAAATTGGGAATAGCCTGAACATAAATAAAATATTATCTGCATTTAAACAAATAAAAATGGTCAATAACTTAATTACATTCGCAGATATCGATTAAATATTAAAAAATAAAATAAAACGGCTGTTAAAGGTCGCCAGTGAATCGGTATTGGTATCGGATGCATCCCTAATTTATATTGTTATTTATCATAATACTATAATGTTTTGTATCAGTTACATGTGTAATGCTGCACGTAATTAGTCATTTATTTATTGTTTTTAAAAATAATATGAATCATAGTTTTCGAATGTTTTTGACACATTTCACTCAAAAAAAATGGCTGACATAAAATAGGAGTGATTCTACTAAATGAAGTATAAATAACTAAATAAATTATTGTTTCATAGAATTTTCTTTTTAATGTTAATTTTGAAGCTTGTTTTATATTTAATTGAATTTAAATGTGCTGAAAAAAATTGTTACATCCTGTGCAGTATATTATTGCGCTTTTTATAATTATTTTTTTGTTTTAGAGTAAATATTTATGGAAGTGTATACGTTATATAATTAGAGTATTAGACTTATTCTTTGAAGGTAGTGAAAAATATTTAATATTTATTTATTTTTAGATAGACATGATAAACCTCCGACACCGATTATCACGAGAGATTTTCGGGAGTTTCTAGAAGGTGAAACCTTTTCTCTGAATTGTTCAGTTACATACCAACCTAATTCACCAGTGAGCCTTTTTTGGAATTTCTCACAACCGACTGAAAAGGTAATGCTATTTATTGATAAAATATTGTTTATTTCTATCATTGATATATAAAATCATAGAGCACAGCTCCTAACAAATATAACTTCAACAAGTGGCGTCGCGGTTAGTGACGTTAAGTCAAACCAAAGAATAAAACTAAAAAATCATAAGTTCTGATTGTGTAAACACAAATTGTAACTTACGCGTATGCATAGTGAATACAGTGTGCGTTATGTCACGTTTAAAAAAAAAACGACCGCAAAATAGCCTTTGATAGTCAGGAAGAATAAAATCCATATGGAGTAGTTGTTATATAATTTATTTTATTTTGTAAGAAAAAATGCAACTTAATATTACTGCCGTAAAAATCTCTATTATTAATTGGAATGTGTATTAAGCTTGTTGATATCGTTCACCCTTAAATATTATAAAATTATTTTAAGGCAAAGATGAAACTCTGCATTTAATCCTTTCAAATAAAACATTATTTGTTGTAAATGAAGGTAATTTATTTAAATAAATGGAATGGATGGAGATACATATTTTAAGAAATGGAATTAGTACTAAAAATATAAAAACGATTTAGAAAGTGCATTATGATAAATATTCCATTTAAATCAGAACAGACTTACGTATGTGTATCTTGAGTTTTTGTATATCAATGATTAATTTTTTACAACAATAAACTGAATATATATATATATATATATATATATATATATATATATATATATATATATATTTTGAAAGATGACAAAAATTAACTGTAAATTAGATTGTGTGTATGTTATGATATTTATGTGTTTATTTTATATACCTATAGGGTCGTATTATACATGACACTAACGAAAACAAAACCACAGGAGGTATTCTTTACCACAATATAACTATAGTAAACGCTACCGAAAAAGATGCTGGAAAATATACATGTATTTCTAAATCTATATCTAACCACCATCGTGAAGCTAATACAGAAAAAATTTACAAAGGTAAGTTCAACATTTCATGACTCGATTAATATATATAATCGAGATATCGATATATATACATATATGTATGTTAAAATTAACAAAATATTGCAAGGTACCATCGGTGCCATTTTTCTTTTCTTTTCAATATATTCGATAGTTGTGAGTAGCCTCTGACTGTATTATTACAGTTGTATAACTAATACTACTATTATCATATAATATTTTATATAGATATATTACATATTAGATAGTTTAGTATATCATACTAAACTATGTCAAAAGACGTAGTCTTTCCATTGACCATGATTACTTGCAATTTATTGATCTATGAATCAATAAGTTACTAAAAGTAGTCGTAAGCGTAACTAAAAGAGTGATAGTTAGGATGGTTAGACTATAGATAATATAGACCTTTGTTTAGAGACTGCTTTAATAATCTAATAAATAATTCGTTGGCTTACTTACTTACTTACTTAATTTTAATGAAGTTTAGTAATTTTTACATAGAACTTCGTTATTTTGTTATCGTAAAAAACAACAACATAGAACTATGTAAAATTGAATATTTTGTAGTTATAGTGCCGCTATCTAGTGGTTCGTTTTTGCAAAACTGTAGCTAATGACACATAGAACCTTGTAGCATTAATAACTAAATAAGTACTAAAATTGTAACATAGAACCTTGTAATAGTGAGCCAACGATTATGTTATTAATATGATATTATTAATATGAGAAATTTTGAGACTAAAAAAGTGTTCATAACTTAATTGAAACAAATGTATAAAGCGTGGTATGTTTAAAGACTGGATATCTGATAAAAATGACTATTGTAACGCGGGGTTTTACAAACAACGGTGATCGCGGGGTATCGTGTCGGAACATGTACGATCCTGTAGGGCCGTGTTCCGTGCGATCGTATAGTTTAGGCGCCCGCGCCCCCCCCGTCTCCCGCGAACGCGTGAGCGACGGCGTGGCTCGACCAGCCAGAGAGCCGCGAGCGCCGAACGCGTAAACATCTGTATCATAACGATCCTCCACGACTCTCATTTTCACGCAGTTGTAAGATTTTATGTAATTTTTTTGTGTAATATCCATAACTATAAGTTTTCTTGTCAAACCTCAAGTGAAATAAATATATTTTAATAGACTGTTGTGTACCTATTAAACTGGCGCCCATACTAGTGGCTCGAACTTTTAAACTTGTATACTAGTGCGTGAAGATGCCTATGACGAGGAGAGGGGAAACGCTTCGGCAGCAGCGAGGGGATGATGCCGCAGAGGGAGAGGAGAACACCATCGAGCACGGCCACGTGGACGGAGCTGCGCGAGCCGGCTCGACACAGCAACCAGCACCCCAGCTCCCCGAACACTTCCTATCCACGCTGATGGAAACGATCACGCGTGCGCAAGTGGAAGCAAATAGAAGCCTTATCAATTCTCTGATGACGTCCAGCAGTGAATTTAGGGCCTCCACCCCAGTCGTGGCCTCTCAAACAAATAATGTGAACAGCGGGAGTGGTACTGCTGCCAGCGTCGCGAGTGTCGACGCCAATTTTACTAAGTGCACGACGCGGTTCAATGGGTCGTCCCAGGACGCCGAGGTATTAGAAGCGTTCCTGGATGCCGTCGAGATATTTAAGGAGTGTGCGGCCGTGAGTGACGAGCTCGCACTCCGCGGATTGCCGATGTTGCTGGAGGGTGAAGCGGCAGTATGGTGGCGCGGCGTTAAGGCGTCGGTGACTACATGGGCGGACGCGGTCGCCCGCCTACGCGCGGCGTATGGCGTGGCGCAGCCCGCACATCAGATTCTACGGCAGATCTTCGCTACGGAGCAGCAAGAAGAAGAACGCGCCGAGTCGTTTTTGTATAAAGTGCGAGCGTTAATTGCAAAGTTACCGTATAAGCTCGATGAAATAGTGCAAGTTGATATTTGTTACGGGTTATTACACCGACGTATTGTTAAAAGAGTTTCCCGCGATAATGTTCGTAATTTAGATGACTTAATGTATAAAACGAGGATCGCGGAGGATATGTATAAAACTCTTAAGGTAAATAAGGATAACAATAATAGTAGTAATTGTAAAAGCGCGATTTCACGAACATCGGTTACTACTACCGGTCGCGATCTCACTCGATCGAGTTTTGATAGTACGAACGCGATCACTCCGCGTAGTAATAAAAACAATAGGCCCCGATGTAGTTATTGTAAATTATTTGGGCATATTAGTGAAGAATGTCGCAATAGTGAGAAGGTTATGATTAATGATAATAATGATAAACATTTGTATAGCGATAGCACGCGTAAAAGTATACGTTGTTACGGTTGTGGTAAGGAAGGTGTCGTGAGGTCGAAATGTGATATTTGTGTGAAAACTTTAACGAATTCGGATGGTAAAACTTCGTTCAATAATTTGGATTTAGATTTTAATAATCATGATAATTGCGTTAATAATTATAATAGTAGTATAGGTAATACAAGTGCGTCATGTATTAAGTTAACTAACGTGAGTACGCGTGAATCGTATCCTATGGTTAATATATCTGTTATGGATCGTACCGGAGTGGCGATAGTGGATACGGGCGCTACGCATAGTATTGCGAGTCCTTTATTATATAAAATTTTAGTAGACTTGGGAGTACACTTTAGTAAAGTTAAACGATTTGTACACCTGGCTGACGGTACACAAGGGTGGAGAGACTTGTTGACGGCCGAGGTAGGTATAGATATCGAAGGCCATAGTGTAATGTGTCAATTACTAGTGTTGCCAGGTTGTGACACTAGAACTCTTCTAGGTATAGATTTCTTGTCTCGGGCCGGAATGGTAATAAACGTTGCCCATCGCACTTGGACATTTATGGATAGTCCCGGACAGTGCTTTAATTTTATTTATTCGTACACACTTGACCCTGCAGGTACAGATTTATTGCACGCCGCATCTGATGAGCTGATGTTGCGCGCAGACGAAGGATCTAAGTTAACCCAGGAGCAACAGAATAGAGAATCTGTTAGGTTTTTAGGACACGTTATTGTACCAGGCGGAATCCAGGTGGATCCAGGTAAGACGGCGGCTATTGATAATATGCCCGCCCCTCAGAACGTTAAACACTTAAAATGTTTCTTACAAACGGTGAGTTGGTATCGCCGCTTTATTAATAATTACGCTGAGATCGCGAGACCTCTTACAACACTCCTGAAGAAATCAAGTGCCTGGCGATGGGACGCCGAGCATCAGGAGGCGTTTGAGCGGATAAAGCGTCTCCTCGTATCCGCTCCCATTCTGCGTCAGGCGGATGAGTCGAAGCCATTCGTTCTCTGCACCGACAGCAGCGCTTACTGCCTCGGGGCTGTTTTAATGCAGGGGGAGGGACACGATGAGAGACCGATCGAGTACGCAAGTCGTCTTCTCACTAGTGCAGAGAACAATTATTCCACGACGGAGCGAGAGGCACTCGCCGTCGTGTGGGCGTTAGGTAAGTTTCGCGGTTACGTAGATACTGCGAAGGTAACGGTTAGGACGGACCACCAGCCTTTGCGATGGCTAATGAGTCAGAGGTCACCTAGTGGTCGGCTGGCTAGGTGGGCCCTAACATTGCAAGAGTTCGACCTCAATATCCAATACACACCGGGACGCTCGAACGTGGTTGCGGATACGCTTTCGCGACCAGTTTGTGCTGAGAACCAAGGTGAGTGCGAATTATGTATGACAGTCGTAGACTTACCAAAGAGGAGTAGTGGTGATATCCGCAGCAATCAACTGTTAGATCCAGAGATTCGCAAAATCATTGAGGACATGGAGTCTGACGAACCTTCTAGGGGGAGGCCATGGTCCGATCGTGGGTACATTATTTCCGATGGTATACTTCATAGATATAGTTTAGAGTCAGACGATGGAGAAGAATGCTGTATTGTTGTGCCCGAACACGAACGCAGGCAAGTGATGGCTGAACTCCACGACGCGCCTACGGCAGGACATTTCGGCGTGGAGCGCACTTTAGGCCGTGTTCGCGCTAGATATTATTGTACAGGTATGCGCATGTTCAGTACTAACTATATAAAGGGGGCTGCTGACCAGAGACGGCGATCGCCGCCAGAGTATAAGGTAGGCGATATGGTGCTACTTAAAACGCAGGGGCCGAACGATGCAGGACGTGGACAGACAGCGAAGTTTATCCCACGCCGGGACGGCCCATACAAGATAGGCAAGATAGTTAGTTCTACTACGTACGGGTTAGAGAACGTACAGACCGGAAGAGATATAGGGAAATATCACGTTTCGCACCTCACGCCATTTACCGGCCAGATAGAGCCTCCCGTTAGGGAAAAACGTAAACGTGGTAGGCCGCGTAGATACCTAGACTAGCCCAACTGTGAGGACACTTAGTTAGGCTAGAGGGGGAGAGTGTAACGCGGGGTTTTACAAACAACGGTGATCGCGGGGTATCGTGTCGGAACATGTACGATCCTGTAGGGCCGTGTTCCGTGCGATCGTATAGTTTAGGCGCCCGCGCCCCCCCCGTCTCCCGCGAACGCGTGAGCGACGGCGTGGCTCGACCAGCCAGAGAGCCGCGAGCGCCGAACGCGTAAACATCTGTATCATAACGATCCTCCACGACTCTCATTTTCACGCAGTTGTAAGATTTTATGTAATTTTTTTGTGTAATATCCATAACTATAAGTTTTCTTGTCAAACCTCAAGTGAAATAAATATATTTTAATAGACTGTTGTGTACCTATTAAACTATCTAATAGTGTATCATTTCATCAGAGCAAACAGGCATAATGCACACTTCTGAACGGAATAAAGGATGTCTAATAAAAGAGAAATCAATAGTAGCGAACGCGAAATAGTCTTAAAGGAGTCTGCCCACTACATCGTCTCATACCATGACCGTGCTAGGACCGTGTCAGGAAAAAAAAATTGTATTGGAAAGTATGAGACTCTGCTCACTAGACCGTTCCGTCACCGACCGGCACCATCGCGTGACGTGCACGGATCGGTAACAATTGTCGGTGAGAATATTTTGCCGGTGCAGGTACGCTCCGTGTCTGGCACGCGTCGTTGAGGGACCGGTACGCGCAGGCGGCGCAATGTTATGTACGGGTATAATACGCTGTTGATACGGTCTAGTGGGTATAGTAGCACGTGCCATGCTCGTTTCCGTGCCTGGTACGTTCATAGCACGGTCATGGTATGAGACGGTGTAAGCTTCAAGATCGAGAATATTGACCTTAAAGCTATGATTTTCATTGTGTATAGAGAGCTATTAGAAAATACCCAGACAATAATCAGTCCATAAATATTTAAATTTAAAATATTACGATCTTTCAACCCTTGAAATTGCAATATCTCAAAAAACGTTTTTTTTTCAAATAATACAGTGTTACTGAACAAGTGCGGAAGGTTATTAGTAGAATTTGATTATCTGATCAACATTTTTAGTGTAGGCATATAATTGAACAGGATGCTATTGTTATCGTATATATTTGAATGCCATTGAAACTACAACGAGCTGAATAAAATAAAATGTCATTGCTAGATTATATACTTACAAAATTTATGTACCAAATTTCAACTTTAGAACTTGGCCAATTTGATTTAATTGATGGTTAAATACAACCATGAATTAAACATTCATTCATACTTGCTGTCGGTCATGAATCTAACATCACTTCGGAAGCAATATGCCTCAGTCCTAATTGGAACTAGCAGAACAGACTATAAACTTATTTTAATATTATATATTTAAATCATTTTTTGTTTATTTAATGCACCAATATTTCTTATTATATTCTTTATTGCACTTAAAATATGATACAGAAAAAAAAATAACAAAGTAAACATAGTTCACAAAGGTGGACTTATCTCTAAAAGAGATCTCTTCCAGTCAACCCCTGGTTGTGGAAGATGTCAGCGGGCAATATAGTGCAAAAAAATTACTAAACATATACTAGAAATAAATGTAATAATAATCACTTATATACATACATATATACATATATTACATTTAAAAATATATAATACTATACATATATAATACCTAATGTAAAGACTATTTTACATACATACATATATACATATACATAGTTAATATATAAAATATGAAAATAGAATCAGAAAATAAACCTTATCATATTTTAAAATAATGTGGGTAAGTACATATATTTTTAATTTAAGACCTGCGTGTAAGTAACTCTTTTCTTATATAAAAATCACTTGCTCACAATTAATCTTATTACTCACTGTTTATATTAATTAATATTAAAAAATTAGTGCGTAGTTTTACAAGAATTCAGTTTTTAAAAATGAATAAAGTGTCAGCAGTAGGTATGTCATCTTTATTTACAATGAGATAGATGATGAGGTCTTTTAAAAATGCAAGTCATTTTTATAGATTAAGTACAAGAATGGTCCATAATTAGATACTGGTTAGTACCATATACTAATGTCTAATAGATTCGCAAAATATCTTGCTACTTAAGAGTACTCTCAATCGTTGATATTCTTATTTTTAAATACGAACTCAAAATATTGAGAACATTATCTCTGTAGTATTATAGTTCTCCGTTTAATGCATAATGACTAACACCATCATACAGTAAATAAGTAACCTAAAAAGCTCAAGTGTTAAAATGTTTGGTAGGAAATGGGCCAGTGACAAAAAAACTGAAGATTGTATGAAGTGCTATAGCAATTAGGCTGAAGTAGCCAGAGCACATAAACTTACGTCTAATAGCGTAGCTGAAATTTTAAGGAATAGAAAATATACTTACATAGATTTTTTTCATATTTCTGAACTTTTTGTATGGCCTAAGGTTGACTATAAGAGAATTAGTTTTAGCATTAAGTCCGCTTTTTTCCCTTTTTTTAATATTTTGTACATAAAGATTACAAAAAGGTAGAACAAAACACACAACAAACACATTTATTTACTCTAGAGACTAATGCTGCACTTTAATATAATTACAATCATAAAAAGTAGTGACTGAGAGACATAACTAATTTAGTAAAAAAACAGTTTCTATATAAATTTTGAGTTAAAATTTAAATGTTGAAAAACACCTAGCCCTAGTTATTTATTTTACTTCCATATTTAGTTCTAGTCGCAGGTTATTAAAACTGAGTCTGAAGATTAAGCTGTATGAGTCTAAAGCTGTGGTTATTTAGGTCTGAGAAATTACAAGCTATAAATATAGGTATTATTTTCCTATGTTTCACTAGATCAGGAAAAGTACTACTAATACAACTATGTAATTTTATTCTAAGCTGAGATACTTAAAGCATTAGTTACTTAACAGCACACTTTAACCGATACTCCTACATAATTTTAATATATTACTTATACTTTCTTACTGTTTAGAATTAAAGGTAGTTTGCTAATTTATAATTTAAAAGCTATATTGAGTTGAATATCATGTCATTTTTTGGATTTTGTATTGTTGTGGATTCTCTTATTCATTGATGGTTGCCAAAACTATAACCTATTAAAATTAAAGTATTTGACATGTTATTGTTAGGTACTAAAAAAATAAGTAAAAAAATCTGGTATTTTTCGTATTTTTTCTTACTTTTAGCTTATATTTTTTTGTTATTTATCTTGCTTGTAAAAAAATGGAAAATGGGAATCATGTTTGTGTTTGTTTTTTGTCACAGCCAATTATAATCGATGATTTAACTAGAGTTGTTCATTAGGGACTTATATAGAAATTTGATACTTACATTATAGAAATAAGTTAATAAGTTTTATTCTATTTTTCTAAAATTATAAATTTTGTCCGTTCATCATGTTAAATATATAATGAAAGGGTTTTTTGTGACAGATACAACAATTAATAAGCTATTCTTAGAATAATTATGATAAATAAGAATAAATTAGGTGATTTTATGTGAAACTAAGCCCTGAAGTACATAGTCTACATCTTGGTGAAAAGAAGCTATTGGTTTTTTTAATACAAATAATAAGGCAAGCATGCAGTTCAATGCTTCTTTCTTTCGCATTCAAACTATGGAAAACTTAAATCAACGAATTTTATATATTTTTCGGAAAGAAAGATATAGAACATATCAGGGCTTGGCTTCAAGTGAAATCTCATGACTATATAAAAGTTAAAGAGTCTTGGCTTTGTGTAGATTAGCTTTAATGAGATTAATTTTTCTATAATGTTTTTATAGGTTTGTATATCAACATATATTTGAAAATATTTCATATTGATTAATAATATGTATTTGAGTTACTCGTAGGTACATTCGGATGTTAAAACTAACTTTCGTCTAATTATGCTATAGTTAATAAAATATACCGTTATGATTTAATTTAGATACTTTTTCTACAGAAATACCTACTTGGATTTAAAATCTAAATAATATTTCTTTCCTTTATTTTTCTCAGGTGACACTGGTTATATTAATGTTTCTTTATTAACGAGTAAAAGGATTAAAACTCGCCAAAAAGTTGTAAATTTATTTTACACCGTCGACTGCTATCCTCCAGCTTCTTATGAATTGTAAGTAGAATATATATTTTTTTTAAATGAGACAGTATATTACAAGTTATTAATCACCTTATTATATTTTCAGTTTTAAAAATGGCAAAGAACTTTTAATAAATCCGAATACGACGAAGTATAAAGTTACTGCAGAAAGTGGCGAAATTTCGTTGAAAATAAATACACTGGATGTTTACGATACAGCTAACTACACATTGGTTCTTAGAAATAAATACGTCACCAAAAACGAGACGTATGATCTGAGAGTTGAAGGTAAATAAATATATTCATTCAAAACTAGTATAATTATCATTGCGTATATTGTCAATGGAGCATGTCCAACTGGCACAATCTCGTACGTAGGAGGTCGTAAGTTCTATTAAATATCACACAAAATAAGAATACGCCTGAATTGTACGTGAAGCGCGTGAAGATTAGTAGGTATATCTAGTATTAGGAGCCGACCGTTTTTTATACCGCATCAGTTCATGTAAGTCAGATAACGTTTGACATTTTCTTCCTTCAGATGGTTCAATATAAAATGATAATGATGAAAAGGTATGTCCTTTCACCTAAATTCTTTTTATATTAGGTATTTACCTATGAAATTACCATTTAATGTACAGAAAGATAGTTGTTTTTTATAAATATTTTTTATTTCTATCAATCAAAACGTGAACCCATGCTATCGATGCATTTCTGCCAGCGCAGTGGTAATTTTTCAATGCCCTTCTTGAAGAAGCGAGGTATACGGGCCAATAAACTCTTCAAAGGCATTTTCTACTGCCTCTTGGCTATTTAATTTATTCCCTGCCAAGAAGTTGTCCAAATTTTGGAAAAAGTAGAAGTTGTCAGCACAAGGTCTGGTCAGTACGGTGAATGACGCAAAACTTCCAACACTAGCTCTTGTAGCTTATATACTGTGTGTTGTGCCGTATGAGGTCGAACGTTGTTGTGTAGAAGTAGCGGGGACGAGAGATTAACCAAGGCTGACCGAAAATTTGCTTAGAGCTTCTCCATCATTGTGACCATTTCCTCACAGTACACATCTGCAGTAATGCGGTGCCATTTGGTAAGTAGCGAATAACGAGTCGTACGTTCATTTGTAGTGTTCACTTCGTATACGTCATTAATGTTGCAAGCTGTATGTGCGACATTGCTACCGCGACGGAACTCGTATTCCATAATTACTCGTATTTTTATTGTGTCCATATTGAAGAAAAAAATACAAATGTAGAGAAAACAAAACACTAATCAATAAACAAATGACTGAATTTGAAAATAGAACTCCATATTTTTTAAAATAAAATTCATTTGAATTTAGAATTTATTGCCGGCCACTCATAAATTACGTTTTAAATGGCCAGTATTGTAAAACGGCAACTTCATAGGTAAAGGCATATTATTTTGAGAACAGAAAACATAAGAAAGAGAATAGCAAAAGAACGGCTTAAATGATTTCAACATGATTATACTGCAGGCAAGACTTGTTCGAAAATGAAGTCGGCCTATTTTAATTAAAATTTATTAATAATTACGGGAAAAAGGAAGAATAGAAAGAAGTATTATGAGCTTTAGGATATTAACCCAAATAATTTTATTTTAGCCCCACCAAAGGTTGACTTTGGCGCAAAAGGTGACAAAACATTTTTGTTAAATACCAGAGCAACTCTAAAATGTTCGGCCATAGGATATCCGTTACCACAAATAAAATGGATATTTGATGATGGAACAAGGAGGAAAGAGGTTGAGGTAATACTTGTTTTATTTTTGGAAATAATTATTTTATTAACAGAAAGGGACAACCACATAAAATATGCTCTCGACAAAATTACTAACATTATATGAAACTGATGAGATATATCAATAAATAGTTTTATATTTAATTGATTTAAAAAACATAAATATGATTTTTCTAACATTGCCTAGATTTCTAATATGGGAAAAGATGCTCGTTTATCACTCAAATATACTAGTTTTTTTCTTTTTTTTTTTTTATTTGAAGAAAATTCTCCCGTAGGTAATGCATAACTCAACGTATAATTCATTTTGCAGCCAAAAAATGTTGCTGAGTCGTTGATTCAAGTATCATCATATTTAGATATAAATGTCACACGTTCTGGAAATATTACATGTCTTGCGGAAAATAAATCAAACAATACGATGGATACTAGAAACTTTTTCGTCTACGAAGTACCCAATGGGTTTGGGTTAAAAAATGAAAACCGCTTATGGTTTTCTGAAGGTCAACAAGTTAGCGTGGACTGTTATGCGTCTTTGTATTATTTTAATGATATAAAATGGTTCAGAAACAACACTGAACTAAACGGTAGGTGAAAAACTGTTATTCATATATATTTTTATACAACAAATTTACAAAGTACTTCATCAACTAAATATTTACTTTATTTAATATTAAATACATTTATTTATTTAAATTTGTCGCCTACAAAACAATACATAATTCTGGTATTTAAACCATCACCTATTGAGGTATGCTACGAGTTACATGTAATGTATACTACAGTAGTCATCATCATCACATGTTCGTATTGCGTATGTAGAGTTCCACATCTATATAGGAATAAGCTATTATTCCGTTTGTATGTCTGTCTAACTTTCTATTAGTTTTTATTAGTCCGTTTGTTCGCCTGTCTAACTTTCTGTCTGTTCTATCTTAAATAACTTGACTTTAAAACCGTAATATATGTATATCTGGGAGACATTAACTGAGGATTATGTTATTATTTGTTAGGAAATAAATATGTTACTAAAACTAGATTAAGAGGAAATATGTTCATACAAGAAATCTGTTTTTAGGTTTTTTATTGTAAAAACAGTAATTTTGCAAGCTCTGGTTAGATTATAGTACGTACCCTAAAGAAAAACAACAGCCAATAAAAGCTACGTGTGAATTGCAGTCGCACTAGGGATTTCAACCGCTAATCAATATAAATAACTATTTTATTGTTGACACCTGCCTCAAATACAGTGTGGTGGGCGAAACTCTCGAAGCAGGACCCATACGTAGTCGATAATTTATCACTCATCCTTCTAAATTAGAGTAAAAGTGCGCAGAGATTCTGATATAAAAGAAGAGGATAATTAATATTACTAATGTTATATTTTATCTGATTTCAGCAACATTTAGCCAGACGCAATTTTCAATAGTTGCCCAATTAAAGATATCAAAAATATCATTAGAAGATGAAGGTGAATACGAATGTTTCGGAGAGGAAATAGATAATACTTCTGTCAGTCAAAAGGTGTATTTCACTGTTGCAGGTATTTTAGGATTTTTATAGGCTTTGGAATTTTAATATGACATTACTTAATTATAATCTTAAATTTATATTATATTTATAGCGCGAAAACCACCAGTGATAACAATACCTACAAGTGATATAGAAGAGCAGTTAAATCCTTATCAAAAGAAGTCACTCATTTGTCAAGCTGTCGCCGTTCCTCCGCCAAATATAACTTGGTTCAAGGTAGTAAAAATAACTCCTTAAAAATTATATGTGATTTACATTAAAACTTAAACTAATAGGTATTTGTTAAAATAAATAAATTAACCTACATTAGATACATTTCCCTGTTTGTCACATAAAGGGAATGGGTAAAAAGTAAAATATATTAATGATGATGAATAATACCTACCTAAGTACTTCAAAGAACTAAAACAAATACAACAAATGAGCCCTTCTAGAGAACTTCTAAAGTTTTACTCGTTGATATGAAAAGAATAGTTTACCTATACTGGCTATATCATCAAACGCTTGATGATTTTCATATACTAAAATCGACTTTCAAGATTTGATTATACATTAGATAGTATAACCTACCATTACCTATTAAGTTTTGAACCAGACTGTCCTGTATAGAGATGCTAAAAAATAAGTTCTGAATCATTCCCGGGACGATTTTCTAGAAAAAGTTAAATTATAGGATTGTCGTGGTTACAATTTCGCATTGGTGAATAATAACTGTGCTAAATCTGGTGACGGCACGCGCCACTTAAATTGTCATACGTCATATAAAGCCTAGGTATCGGCTGGAGAGTGAACGAGTGGCCACAATTTAGTCATTGTTGTTTTAAAATGATTTCAAAACAATAAATTCTATATATAATATTATAAATTTTCGTTTGCGATTTGACCGACTACAAGAAAAGAGGTACTTAATTCGGATGGATAAGTTTTTTTTTGTGTATTACTCGATACTCGCCAATTGTGATCTGATTTTATTAATTCTTTTTTTATATTATTATATTGCCTCACGAGTAGAATTTTCCCATTTAAATTGGTTTTTTCGAAGACTGTATACTTTTTAGGTTAAAACATAATAATTTTGTTTTTAGGATGGAAAAGTATTGTTTGACGACGGTAACATATTCTACGATAATACAGACCACACTATGGTTAATTCGAGCATTGAAATAACTCTTATAGATGACGAGAAGAGTTTATACGAATGTGCTGTAGAAAGCGGCGGTGAAACAGTACGCAGATCTTTTAACCTCGTACGGATAGGTAAATAACTTGAATAATATTGTGCATGAGTCTTGTCATGTATTTATAAGCCATAAAATCTTACATTGTTTAAATAAAACTGATAATTGTGAAATTGCAAAACGTAACGCTATATAAAGCCATGGACTTTGACAAGACGGAATTTTACAGTCGGAAAATAGTATTTTAAAGAAATTGTGAAAACGTCCTTTCAATACATTTTTAAGTGTTTTTTAAGTAAGTGGTTGTGGAATGCAATTTTGTTCAAGTCTGATGAAAAAAAAGATTCTTGTGTATCATTCGCAAATCTGTCCATCTGTTTTCCGATCGAGTCCAATTGCATTTATATATTTTTATTACTAAGTTTGTAAGTTCACTCACATTTGTTTAATAATTTCAGATAAACATAAATCCGAAGTATACTACTTGTATATAATAGGTGTCATAATATTCTTCTTTGCGGTATTAATTTTCTATTTACTGTGGAAGATGCGTAAAGTGAAGCAATCTAAGAAGGAATTGTTAGCGGCAGGATTATGGTACTTTAACGAAGGCCTTCCGAAATCTATTAACCCAGAACTTGGTATAGATGAACAAGCTGAACTATTGCCATATGATGAAAGATTTGAATTTCCATCGGAGAAGCTTCAATTCGGTAAATATGCCAATGGAATATTTTAAATTTCATAACATAATAAAACAATTACTATTAAACGTTGTTTTTATATGACAATATAGGTTAAGTAAGGTAAGAACGATATCCGAGACGGTTATGTTCATATATTTATAAGCATTGCATAATTACTTTATTTTTATGATATTTATAAATAACTAGCAGAATCCGCGTTCATCCAAGTTCAAAGTACAAAGCAAACTTTTCTTTCCCTACCCTTTACAATAATGTATGGAAGTCTACCCAATTTGTTGACATTTATGATTACCGCTCCGCTCCCTTGAGTTGTAACATGATTATATATAGCCTATATCCTTTCTCAATAAACTGGCTATCTAATGCAAAAACAATTTTTCTAATCGTATTCCTGAGATTAGTGCGTTCAAATAAACAAACAATATCTTTATAATATTATTATAGATTCATATTGATTGACATTTTTATTTCAAAATCGGTTTAGGTACTTCCAAGATACCAAGATTGTACAATTATTAACATACAATACTCGTACAATAAGCATTCGAAATGTCGGGAACCAAATAAATCCGCGAAAAAATCCGAAAAATAGTTTTATTTAAAATACAATAAAAGATATAGCGGCAAACCTCAAGGGCATATATACATTGTAAACTGGCCGATAACGGTTGGATGTGTAGAGCTGATGGTTAAGCTCAGTGACGTGCATTGGGAGAGGTCTATGTCCAGCAGTGGACAAAAGTGGACAGATATAATAAACCATGTTATAACCATTCAATATTAGCTTTTTTAAATCAAAGGTACGGTACAAAGGTTTTACTTAAAAGTACAGATAAAATGTACTTCATGCAAAACATTTTATAAAAGATTTACGGTAGTGTCTTGCTCAATATTAATAACGCACTTACCTTGCCTCATCTTAATGTTTGCGCTGTTACATATTCTTTCAGCGAGTGCGAAAATAGATGGACAATTTTTTTGTTTATATTCTAACAGAGTCCATCTGATTGTACGTCAATACTGCTTACGTTAATTGCAGACAAAAGATCCTTAGATCTTATTAATTAAAGGCGCATTTCTCTTTTACTAACGGCCAACAGATAATGTTTTGCTATATATATATATATATATATATATATCTATCACATTTCTATACCAAATTTTGTGTCCATTGTACTTTCTTAGATTTACGCAAATATTTTAAATAAAACTCCTTTTTCACCTAAACTGTTGTATAATTTAATGGTTAAACACTGTAATAACTATAAATGAAACTTGAAAAACTTCAGTCTTTCCCGTGACTATTTTTGCTGATAAGTATTTGTATTGTCGGAAGCAAATAAAAATAAAACCATGGCATAATTCAAAAGATAAGTTTTACCCGCGACGGCCACAGAAACGGTATATATACATATGTATGCGTTTGGGATAAGAGTTGTCTGTGTGTCTGTTACCATTTTTCTAAGGAACGGCTAGGTCGATTTTGAAACGGTTTTTTGCTTTGTATAAGTCTTATTCCTGAGCATTTTCTTAGCTAACTTTTATAATGTTTAAGAACGCCAGGAGTCGCTACAATATACACATGTTTCTCCAAAACGGTTATTTTTGTTTTACTACTCGAAAATAAATAAATAAGGCAGTTTAATATTTAAATGAATGTATTGCATTTACTATTAAAATTTAAAAAAGCCACAAATAAAACGTATTTTTTTTTAATCCACGACGAAAATAGAGAATATCTTTATTGCTTTGGAATGAAGAGTATATTAATATTTTTTAATGTCATTTCTTTTTTAATAAGAAAATAATTATTAAATAGTGCAAATATAGACGGGAAATTGATGGCTGAATGGATGGCGGAGTGTCGTGGGTTTCTGATTTTTTTTTAAGTGTTTTTTTCATGTCACAGTTTTCCATAGTGGGTTATTTAAATTTTTAATTTATGTAGTATATTTAATTTAAATTTTAATTTATGTAGTATATTAAATTTTTATTTTATGTAGTATTATAATATTTAATGTGTTTTCTCATGTAAGTGAATTTGTTATTCTTAATGTGAAATAAAGATTCTAAACAGATATTTAAATTGTTTCTATTGATGAGACTTTAAAATGGAATATACGAAATGACTCTTATGAGTTAAATATAACTAGTGACATACTCGTATTTCGTTTCTATGTCACTTTTTGTAACAGATGGGAATCACTCATTGCAACTCCGAATAAAAACCAATATTTAATAGTAGATAGTCCTCGGCTCATAAAACTACTATTCAGAAAATTACTACAATCATTGTCATTGCTGTGAAAGATATACAAACTTAACGTCGGTCGCGTTGTTTATTTACTTATATGTACATATATATCTGCTTCTAAGGCAGAAGTAATGCTATAAGATGAACTAAAAGAAGAAGTTTTCAAATTGGACTTGTAGTTCCAGTGGATCGAGCGTTCATACATATAAACAAAATCTTTGTACATTAAATATAGATAATAACCATAAGAATAAATCTGATAAGCATAATATACTATATTTTAGGCAAGCAGTTAGGTGCGGGCGCTTTCGGTGTAGTATACAAAGCAGAGGCCCGTGGAATCATAAACGCCGAAGAAACAACTACAGTCGCTGTGAAAACGGTGAAGAAAACCGCCGACAACATGTACATAAAGGCTCTAGCCTCCGAGTTGAAGATAATGTGTCATCTTGGAAAGCACGTGAATATAGTCAATTTATTGGGCGCGTGTACTAAACATGTTGCAAAACGTAAGTATATTATTTGTAACATATGATTTTGCTATTGCGTGTCTAATTTTGCCACTAAATAAGAATTCTGTAGTGCTATTCTGTAAGAAATTTTATGTAATACAACAGCTGAATCTGCGATTATTGTTCATAGTTTAGAACTCATTTATACTTTATAATAAGACTAGCGGACCCGACAGACGTTGTCCTGTCTACACGTCTTTAATTTGAAAATTTCAAACTCTTTTTTTAATAATTTTTTTGATGAAAATTATTATTCAAATTGTGAATCTAAACCATTCCCAGATCCCCTTGAACACACACAAAAAATTTCATCAAAATCGGTCCAGTCGTTTGAGAGAAGTTCAGTGACATACACACTCACAGAAGAATTATATATATAAATATATACTTTAAACCTTTGGTAAAATGTACTAAAAATTTCTTATAAATGTATATATTTGAAAGATTTAAAAATACCCTCAATATATATTTATAGATGTTTGTGTAAATTAAAACTAATTGATATAGACCGACGGGTACTAAATAAATTTTGAGTCTAATAATAATCGTGGTTATTGGCTATTGATGATATCATTGTTCCTGGAGTATTTATACAGATTCAGGTCTGTATTGTTACATTCTAACGAACCCGACACATTCATCGGCTATAAAATTCACATATGGATGGATTATGGAACAAAAATTCTCTTATTATATGTACATATTTATATGTACGTATAGATGTAGGTTGGGTTAATAATAATCAATAAATCTTTATATATATAATTCTGCTGTGAGTGTGTATGTCACTGAACTTCTCTCAAACGACTGGACCGATTTTGATAAAAAAATTTGTGTGTGTTCAAGGGGATCTGGGAATGGTTTAGATTCACAATTTGAATAATAATTTACATTAAAAAAATTATTAAAAAAAGTTTGAAATTTTCAAATTAAAGACGTGTAGACAGGACAACGTCTGTCGGGTCCGCTAGTAAAATAATAAAGGTATAGGAATTAGGATACGTGATCATGAGCTTATATGAGCTTCAAAACATTATGTAGGCACTGTAGCTGACACTGTCCAATATTGTTGATATTTGACTGATTTGAGGTTAAATTCATTCAAGTTAATAATTCTATAATTTTTTTATAATGTTCATTTCATCTGATTTGATTAATACAAACCACTAGTGGATGTAATGATACAGAGTAAGTCGTCACTTGGTTTTCTTATCGACTCGTAATAGAAATTCTATAAATCGGTATAGATAAATAGTTTTGTAGAAAATAATAAAAAGGTATTGCAATAGTTGTAATAAAAATGACCTAACGTAGTATTTCATGTTAATAAACAAAGTAAATCTTACATAGAGGTTAACAAGTAAGTTCAATTAAGGCGTCGGCACTAGACACTAATCAATTCTGTTACACGTACATACGTTAAACAGACTTGTATGGAAAGATTTAATTAGCTAAATATTCGAGTCGAACGATGGCTAGCACATAAAAATGCCTTTTAATTGATATTGAAATTGCAATGCACGTAGATGTTATTTATTACATGAGTAATATTTGCGTACGGTAGTATATATGTATGTCTGTGTACTGATTTTTGATATTATGATGTTATTTGATCAATATATAACTTCGATGCTACTGGTTAGCCAAATGACGAACTTCCTTCACAGCTGTTCTAGTTTAATATATTTATTTACTTTTCAGGGGAACTGGTCGTAATCGTGGAATACTGTAAATTCGGTAACATACACAATTACATGCAAAGACATCGAGAAGTGTTTATTGATCAGTTTACAGATAATAAGGAGAAGAATCTCGGGAAAGTTAATAGAGGTTTCGAAAGCACTAACGGTAGTACAGGGTGAGTGTAATCTTGCTGTTATGGTTTTTTTTAAAAGAAAAAAAAGCAGTCATGAGGACTGCCGACAGAAGTGAAAACTTAAAACTATAATCAAACAGTTGTTATTTTTGGATATTCATATTGTTTGAACATAAATTAAAATTTGTAAATTAAAACTGTTTAGATTTATCTGGTTTTGACATCTATTGGCAATCCGATTGTTAGCGTTAACACGTCACGTGACCATGTCGATGGCGACTTACATGAATTTACTCCCCATCCAAACCTGCCTATAGAAGTTTTCATTTCAAAAATGGATTGGAATTCGATTTTTGAATTTCCAATAGAAAAGAAAAACAACACAAAGTCAACAAAAAAACCGATCGAACATAATTAAAACATCCACCAACTTGTCAAATTACATTTGTAAGCATTTGTACTACTTAAATATTTGTAAATTTACGAAAGTTCTGAAAAAGTACCAGATATGGTTTTTGACATTTAATCTTTCTCAGTCTTACCAAAGTATTTTAAATAACAACAATCGCATTTCGCATTCCATACTGATTATTTACAAACTTTTATAACACAAGTACTCTACGTGCTAAATTGGGACTCCAGTACATGCGTGTATTTCATCATCGACTCTAAAATATTTCGATTTGGTAGTTGAATTTTGTTTAGCTCATTTGTTCTCACAATTGTGACGCTCGTGTCTGCGTAAAGCTGAAACACCTGTCGCTATTTTATTTATAACTGTTATTGTTTATTCTATCATCGTCTTATAATACGCAGTATTCAAGTTGTTTTTAGGTTATAATAGATCTTCATACTATCTCTATATATCCAAACATTGTATTTTAGATAATTTGCAATTATTTATAAACAAAATGTATACATTCGAACATAGAATGTCCTCCTTTTTGGAACTTGGTTAAGTAAAAATTATGTATCCATATATTTCTATCTATTCGTAAAAAGGAAAAGAAAGGTGATATTTTGGTTCTTTTGAAATTCTATTACTATATGTCATGTAAATAACAAAGTTAATATAATAGAGGTAATAAAATGTACATATAATAATAAATAAAGAGTTACACATAGGTACGCACTACAATTTGTAAAGATGGCTAGTTTTAGAAAGAATTAGTCATTACTGAAATTCGCTATACATGAATGCCATCCTTATTATTTCGACCTCTCTGAGATAAACTGTGGCGGTAGTTTCACTTAATACGTATATATATACGTATATATATATATATACATACATATATATATATGTATATATATATATATATATATATATATATATATATATATATATATATATATATATATATTGAACAGCATAATGATGTTTTTGTTAAAAAAAACAATAAATTATATTGCTTATAATTTATATAAATATAAGTTATAATCAATATAAGTCATTAAACCATTTTTAAAAGAAACTTGGTTTTCAGGCCAATAAATAAGTATTTATAAGAAGTTTCGATTCCGAGCAAATAATATTGTATTACAAGACTTAAGAGCGAGAAATTGCATATCAGATTACGAAACGATTATAATCGTATTGTAAATCGATAATTATCGGTTAGAATATGAGCTATTATTACTACAATAATATTAAAACTTAGCTATCATATTATGTACGTTATGGTTAGTGTACGGCAAATAACTATTTTATTTTATTCCAGCATGCATTCTGACTACTTCGGTACCAATCACACACAGGAAACTGTCCACACGTTTGTTAATACCGCCAATACTAATAGATCTATGAGAAAAGGTAAATATTTCAAATTGTTTAACAATTTAATGTACGCATTGTTCATTAATTGCTGTTAAATTCAAATATTGCCTCGGTGGTTTAGTGGCTAGTATGTGTGAATGTAGATCCTAAGATCCTGGGTTCGAGCCCTGCGTCACGATAAGTTTAGTTGTTGAGTTTTCTGTCAAAAAATTCTCAGTACCAGCCCAGACTTGTGAAGTTTGCGGTTTTTTCCCCCTATATCTCGGTGAGCGCGTAAAACCGTCCTGTCTTCCCTGTGCCTGATCTTTCACCGGTCATGTTGTATTGTTGTCCCATTGGAGCTTGAGAGTAAAAAAAATAGAAAGTGCAATTCAGTCAGAAATAGGGTGTTTTACACGTATACTTGTTCACTAAAATATCTCTTGAGGACAATGGCTAGCCAGTAATCATCTATCCCACTAAGGGTTTGACCGCCTACGCGGAACTTGGTCAAGACATATATAATAATACTATACGTATTTTGACTCAAAATTATATGTTTTTCTTAAATATTGATAATATTTACTTATATAATGATTTCTTCTCTACACGCGCACAGATAATGCTAATCAACAAGTGGAGTTTGTACGAGGTAATATTGAATGCTGTTTGTTGTTGGTGATGGTTTTTTAATTTAATTGCTAAAATATCTAATATAAATCATTAAAAACATGCAATAATAGATATAAAAATCTGTAAATACAATGGATCCTTATTATCGAGAATTTAAAGTTTATTGACGATGTATATTATAATATTTACAGTGTCAGAAACAGGCTACATTCAACCGGAATGGCGGTCAAATTACGAGACAGATTACATTGATGGACGCAACCCGAGACCTCTGACCTCGAGAGACCTTTTAGCATGGGCCTTCCAAATTGCAAGAGGCATGGAATATCTTGCTAATAAAAAGGTAAATATATAGTAATAATATTTTTTTATAATCCAAGCGTTACATTTTATTATTAATTTAAGTTTCGAAAATACGAAACGCCGTCATTTCTAACTAAATTTAACTATTATAATGTACTCTAATATATACAACTTTAATTTGCGTATGAACATTAGTATTGTCTGTAAGTCTGTGTACGTAGTGATCTTCTCACGTGATAGTTATAAGTAATTCTCATACTATAATCGATGATATTACAAAAATAAAAGATGATTCATCCATTGCTGTGAGATACGACACATCTTGATAATAGTTTATAAAATCTATTAATATAATAAACTTCGGCCGTGATTGGAATGAGGTTATTCGTATTGTTTATGCGCAAATTGCACAAGTGCATTTATCATTCCCTCACTTTCATAGTCCGGTAGTATGGACCGTACACAATCAGTAGGTCAAAGCACAGGAACAACGTAAAACGTCCTCTTCGAGGCACAGAGACGATACACCAACTTCCCAACTCTGGGTTGCAACTTAGAAATAATATATTAAAAAACCCAAATTTGCATTTACCAAATTGTAAAATTACTGTTTTTGATCTATATAATAATACATATAAAATATATTCTTTTCAGGTATTACACGGTGATTTGGCTGCTAGAAACGTCTTGCTAGCAGAGGACAACATTGTGAAAATTTGCGATTTTGGTCTAGCAAGGAGTATTTATAAAAATGACGAGTACCAAAAACAAGAAAATGTAATTACAATTAATTAAATTATTAATTTTATTTAAAAAAAACAGTCAATCTTTGGTGTCATAATTAATTTTTGCTATAAAAATATCTTATGACGTAATTGAATAGGTTTTACTTTAGGTTCTTAACTTTTTTCCCCTCGACTTTCTAAAGAAAATTGAGTTTCTATATATCCAATCTTTGTCGGCAACTAATATTACACTGTTTTATTGTCCGCAGAGTCCATTACCAGTAAAATGGTTAGCCATAGAATGTATGACGGACAGGATATTTTCCACGCAATCTGACGTTTGGTCATTTGGCATTGTGCTGTGGGAGCTGTTTACTCTTGCAAAGACTCCTTATCCAAACGTCAGTCCGACGAGTCTCGTTCAATGGCTTACTGATGGGTATGATTTTATATCTACTATCTAATTAATTGTTTGTTTTCGTTAAAATATTTTCTTTATTACACTTTGTATATAAAATAATTGTCACAAAGGTTCCCTTGACCTATATGGCTAAAAAGGTATATATGGAGCTAGGTATTTAACAAATACAAGCCATAATACATAAGTAGTTAAAAATGAAATGAGTAGAGAATGTGCAAATGCTCTCTATTAAGAAAAATAAAAGATTATATTCCGAATTTGCCTTATTTGACCGCCCTATGCGTCGCTGTTTTGAAAAAACCGAAACTTTTTCGAGAATAAATACAATCTCTTCAGCTTCATCTAGGTCCATATTTCAAAATAATTTTAAAAATATAGGTTTATTAAATCACATTTTATTTATTATCCATATTCATAGGCATCGCCTCGCCAAGCCGCAATACGCAGATGATCGGCTCTACGACGTGATGCTGCGTTGTTGGCAGCAGAAGCCTACAGCTCGGCCTAACTTTAGCCAGTTGCAGGAAATCCTTGGCTCATTTTTAGAAGATAATGTTCGCAATGTAAGATTATTTACCGTTATTTTATTAATATTGGATTGGAGTAACGAAGTTTCATTTTCCGTTGTTATCAGCACGAAATGAAACTTTGTTACTCCAAACATTATTATTAACTAGCATTGCCTGCGGCACGCTCCGTCCGCGTATAGATGACCAAAAACCAAATTCATAAGTTTTACATATTAGTATACTCTTACAATGCAGTTAAATTTGAAATTAGATATTTTTCAGCGATAAAAAGTATCCTTTATGTTGACTCGGATAACCAGCTATCATCATACCAAATTTCATCAAAATCTGTCCAGTGGTTTTCTCGTGATGCGGTAACAGACAGACAGACAAAAATTCTAAAAACTATAGATTCGGACTCTATATCGATAATAATGTCTATTTCAATTAGATTTTCCAAAATATGTTTAATGTACAGATTCGACTTAGTTACAATCTTATTATATGTATAGACAGATGACCATTAAAGCGGCTTTTGGTTACGGCAGAAAATTAAGACTTGATATGTACAGGATGTGAAAGTCATGAGGAGTGTGTGCAAGAATGCAACAAAAAGCTGTAAATCTCTATTCCCTTATAAGTTCGATAGCACAACTTCAAGATGGACAGAGACCAATTGAACACATACCACGTATACTTTCCATCTGTATCTTAACTACAATGTTACCTAGAAAATAACCTAAAAGGCACTTGATCATATCTTACTTTTAAAACGAAATACTTGTCATACGAGCTTCTAACCTTATTTAAATAGGAGCTTAAATTTTCATTTTTAAATAGAGGCTTACGCTAGCTTTGAGTACAAACGTTAATTATAGGTAATTACCTGTTTTAGAGGATTTTTGTTAGAAATCATTTCTCAACGTTAAACCCAATTTTGTACAAAGCTTTTAAGTCTGCTTCTTTAGGCGTTGTATATAATCAGGCGCGGATCTATATAAAGGCTTTTTGGACTGCACCTCAAGGCCGTTAAGATATAACGGGTCCCCTGTTGCCTGAAAACAATTTATAGTACTGTGAATTAATAAAGAAAAATGGCACAAACATGTATTTACACAAACAAACAAACAAACAAACAAACAAACAAACATCCTCTTAAACCAAACGCATATACCATCTCCGTTCCATCGTGGGTAATAAAAATTATTCAAAATAAAAAATATTAAGGCCATACAACGTTGGCCTTCTCAGGGTCAATTAACTAGAACTAAACAGTAGCGTTATCTTAATTTCGTCTAATACTATCTAGCATTATGAATTGTTTAAAGACAAAATGACATCTAGTTTAATTCTAATTAAGTATATAATAAAAATGTTTTATTTAGTACATATAATGTTACAGCACTACGTTGATTTGAATTCTCCATACATGGACTTAAACGTGCGAAAGGAAGGCGAAGAGGACTACCTAGCGATGGTGTGCGCCCCCGATTATAACAACATGGTGACGCCGAGTCCACACCACTATGTGAACGACTCTAAGAGCTTCTTCCCACCTACACCTACGCAATTAAAACATGGTATATATTATTGATATGTTTATTGTTCTAATGATGAAATATATATTATTGTTATATATGATATAGGTACATTTTTTTTTGTATTAGTCAGAAACTTAGGTTGCATGTGTTTTATGTGGTTTTCATATAATTTTTATTTTTAAGCTGTTTAAAAGGTTAATAGTTTTGTAATTATATATTTGAATAACACAAAACTTGTATGTCAAAATATATGGACAATCTATCAATCTTTTATGACAAAAAACCGATCCGATGTTATGTCTACTGTGAATTAGACCTATATATATATATTTAAATTTTATTGAGATTTTCTTTAAGTCATATATAGACGTGTAAAAGGCAAAAATATCATTCATATTGTTGTAGACTTATACTATTAAATATTAAAGAAATTTACTTCGCATTTTATCATATTACGCATTTCCTTTTGTCAGACGCAACAGAAAATACGCCATTCTGATCACGCGAAACAGATTATGTACGGTAATAAAAGATATTATGTCATATAAACGGCATGTTTGCTGTCACTAACCGAGACATTTTTTAAGATTCTAATAAACTCTTTTCTTCTTCGCAACTCCAAGTATAAGCAATAAGTGCACTGTATGTTGTAAAGTAGGACAAAAATGTGTTGGGTTTTGCATGTGTTTGTGTTATAATGTTTGATTAGAATCATTACAAGTAAAAATTTTCTTTCAGATGAAGAAGGCTATTTACAAATGAGCCCCGCTAGCCAATCTATATATAGTCCACGAGTACAAAGTACGAAATTTGATTTCGACGCACGAAAATTTAACTCTGGATGCGATCCTAGTCAAGGTTCTGAGTTAACACCAATGTTAACTTTGAACAATCTACCGAGAAGCGGTTCAGAATCCGATCACGAGGGCAACAATTCACCATATTTGAACATGTGTCACAGGATCGATGAGAACGATGAAGTTTTTGAAAACCAATATAATTTAAAGAACGTCCAAATTAATGATAATACCGCCGTGAGCAATCCCACATATATAACATACGATGGGGATCTAAAGAAACCTCACAATATTTCCAATAATTACACCAACATCAATGTACCCAATGGTCTAGTCAAATAGATTTTCCTCACAATAATGTCTATTAATGTATACTTACACTACTTAGATCTATCTTCGCTTACATGTAAAATTGTTGTTCGTAAAGACTTCTATATGTCTTCATTATACACCTTTTGTATTTAAATCTATTTGTTTTACTGATTTAATTTTCAGTCTTCATAGTAATAATATTTTTGAGCTGTTAGAGCTTTACTTCTAATATTTCTACCATGATAATAATACTCGTATTGATTTTTAAGAGGTCAAAAGATAGTAATTAATTAATAGCAAATATTATAAAGTAAAGTTCGAACAATCAAACCTTATTTTCATCTTTAATTAACTGATCTCTTGTTATTTTCGAATTAATGTATTGTTTAGCATATATTAGAAATCTCAGTAACGCGAGAATAGTGCGTAACTATTCATTTCCTTAGTATTTCTTAGGTTATCTTTGAATCTTCATTTCATACATAGGTTCAAAATTTTCTTATTAATATAAACATACGGTTTAAGTTCAATTTGTGGAATGCTTACCAATGATGTGATATTTTGTTATAGAATGATGTAAGCTGGATTTGATAATATCGTACTCGTAGAATATATTTAGTATATTGGTTAATTTATTTAAGTAAAGAAAGCGCCAGTATTTACTTTTAAACCCACCATAATAATCATTGTTTTATAGTAAGTAAAAAAACTGCAATTTTGTTTTGGATAGCTAAAGGCGAATGCGAGCCGCGTTCCATAAATCTATAAAGAAGACCAGAAATAATATATGAAAAATCTTTATATAACTTGATATTCAAGTTTGTGTTAAGTTTGTAATCTTATATATTTTTATATATAAATAAAATATGTATGAATATGAACGGTTAAGTATTGTCATTGAAATGTATTAGAATATTTATTATCTGTGGATAATGAATGAATGTATATTTTTATCTGTGTCTTAAAACATTTTTGTTTTGAATTATCTATAAAATAGTATACATGTGCTTTGCCATTCAATGAAAAAATCATTTATTTTAATGTATTTGTTTAACTTTAGATGACATCTCCATAAAACTAGGATATCAATAAAGAAGATATTATGAATAGTAGTTTTTTTTTCGTGCTTAGTAAAAAATGTATAATATAATATGTGCGTATAAAATCGATGACTTGAAGCAAATTTTTTTTTAACTGGCATTGTCTACTATGCTGGATTTTTTTTATATTCCCAAGGAGGGTTGACGTCAGGCAGGCGGCCGGTCGTAAAACTTTTGCCAAATTCTATCAGTAGTACAGAAGATGTACTGCGCCGACCCCAAGTGATTGGGAAATGGGCAGGGAGAAGAATAAGATTGTCTACTATGCTAGCTACTAAAAGTTTTTGTTTACTAAATCATGTTTTTTTTATATGAAGGACAACTGGGCCTTCCTTATTTAAAAATTCCATAGGATCTCATCAAAAGCGACAAAGGCCACATAGAAACGAATAAATATTTATTGGTTTCTATGTGGCTTTTGTCGCATTTGATGAGGTCCTATTGGAGTTTTTCAATACGGTTAACTATTATTGTTGTCCTATTGAAATGAAAGATGTTCCTGTAGTAAAACGTTTGTAATTATTGATTCGAGTAATAAGTTATCGATACAGAAAATTTAGATAAAAAACTAGTGTTTTGGGGTCTATATTCTATATACAATACATAACAGTCAATTGTTTTCAACCATTGCTTTCGCTTCTTACTATTTTTTTTATAGATTAAATATACCTACTACACATAATTATCGAAGCATCTACGCCGTAAGCGGAGCCGGAGCGAAAGACTAATGAAATACATTTATTAATTTTAATTTACTTAAAACAATATATATATATATATATATATATATATATATATATATATATATAAATATCATATCAGAGATAGAGTAAGAAATAAAAGCCGAGCTTGGAATAAATAATAAATATTCATTTATTCTAAAACCACTTCATAACACCTGGCAGTACAAATAAACATCAAGTAGCTTGATTAAACTTTGCCTATCACCCACGCATGTAGATAAGCCGAGTCCTTTGCTTCGAGCTTAGGGCGAAGTTAAATTGGATGCCTAGCTGAAAATGCCGCGTACTAGTGCCAGAACCACACTTTCTATCACTTCAGCACCCTGAAAAATATTTAAAATTATATTGAAATTAATGCATAGGTATGCTTAAGTATATATACTGCCTACTCATTGTTATAGTGGACCTCAGTCCTGGGTTTGAGACTCTGGTCAAGTACCTATAGGTAGTTTTTGGGATTTCTGTAAAGATTTTCAGTAAAAATTTGGAAATCGGAGCTGTTTCATCCCCATCAATCTTGTGTCTCACATAGGTACCACTAGCCGTGTGGAGTTATCGTCCAATCGAACTTCGAAACTTAAACAAATAAAGAGTATATTTGCGCACACACTTTTGTACTCAGTGTATTCATCCCTTTTTAATGACCTACTGCTGGGCACAGGTCTCCCTTCAATACTAGGGTATCAGACCATAGCCCTCTACGATGACCAAGTACGGATTAGCAGACTTCACATGTCTTTCGAAAACTTGCTAGGTTCTCTCACACGTGCAAGTTTCCTCACGATGTTTTCCTTCATCTTAAGGTAAATGATAATCATGTTGGAAATGATTCGCACATGGAAATATCAGAGGCTGTTTGCATTCAGTCAGTATTATAAAATATTGTTAAACATTATGCATTGTATTTAATAAAAACACAATTCTTGCAACAGTCTCAATATATCTTAATTTACTAGTATAAGAAAAAAACCTATGTATTTATATGTATACCTATGTATGTATGTATGTATATATATATATATATATATATATATATATATATATATATATATATTCTCCACCTTACACACAACTGCTTGTAAAGAAGGATTACCATCGGTTGCTTGCTATGAATATTCTATAGCCTATCGAGTACATAGTTGCATGTGTTTTATTTTTATTGATAACATCCGAGACGTGGGTTAATATCCGTATAAAGTTAAATTATAATAATACCATATTTTAAAGGCTATTTTTGGTTTGGATTTAACAAGAACAGGTTCGGATCACTGTCCTTACGTCATGTCATACAGAAAACCAGGAAAACTAAATTACAAAAGATAACATTTTTAATATTTTATATGAAAAGAAAACTTACATCTTTAAATGCTTCAACTAATCCCAAAGGCACATCAACGAACATCTTGCCGAGACTTGCTAGTGCCTACAAGTCAATTTTGTAATTTGAGTTATAAATAACGATTTTTAGACTTAAAAACGTAAATAGATACGAATAAAGTTTACTAAAATTTATTGATTCAAGTAACTCACCTAAACATTTTATAAAAAAATAACATTATTTTGAATAGTTCATTATAACATAAAAAAACAACTTTACATTACTTTTCTTTATTATGCTTCTAAATAGAAGATTGACATACATAAATAAATATATTATAAGGCATAGATATTATTGCATCTCATTAGTGTTATTGATCACAATAAAGCACTCACTCCGCCAGACTTAACTTCCTTTGGACGCGCGTCGACGGTATCGTTATCCGCACATATTACTACAGCAAATAGACTGAATACAATAAACAGTCTGGAGTTGAGGCGGACCATATTGACTGTGCACTACTGCTCTGTAGTTTGCTCTTTTAAATCAACAGCTCGCTTATATGGGGCTGACTTGCCATGACATCTATAAGAATGTCATTGTTTTTTTAATTGTTACAATTGATCGTTGATTTTCTTTAGTGTAACGAATTTAGGTTTAAATTTTGAATTCAGTATTCTGTATTACGTGTTTACTTTAATCGTAATAAGTATATAAAAAAAGGCAAAATATGATTGAAATGGGGAATATAATGAAACAACTTCGATTAGAATAACAATATGTTGTATTTCATAATGTAAAATAAAGTAATTTTGAAGAATAGACCATGATCTCTCCCGTGAACACGATTGTCGTAAAGCTTGCATCCGAAGCGTTGGGAACCAAAAATTAGAATAAATTCGCAAAAAATACCGTAAAAGTTAATTTTGTTCTAAATGAAAGGTTTCCTTTAAATCCATAGCAAATCGAGAATAGCTTTTGTGGTCTGTAAAGAAAGATTAAATAATTAAATTAAATGATATTTATAATTAATTAATATAATACATATTAATTTTATCCTACATATGTATATATTTAGTTGGCGTGTAATATTTTTAAATAATGAGAAATTTATATTTAGTTTATGAAATAGAATATTTTTAATTTGATTTCAAAAAGATATGTAGGTATATAGTGCTACTTACATCTCGGCATGTAGCAACGAAAGCCTCTGGGATATCGCTTACTGCTTTACCCAAGTCTCCCAAGAACTAAAAATGTATATTGAAATTAATAGATTTAATTATTCGCGATCTGTATCTTAATAAAATAAATTTATTTATGCCGTAAAAATTTAATAAAACTTAAAACTTGTGTTTTTATTACAATACTGTATTTTTTTTTAAATATCAAGAGTTAAGATTGAAAAATTATTGGATATACATATACCTATTCAGCAAAATCAAGTACTTCTTTCTTCTCGATTCAACATTTTTATGCCAAACAGTAGCCTCCAGTACTCCAGGTCCATGGGTTTTTCTACTAAAAATAAATCTTCATCGAAATTTATCATCAAGCCGTTTCAGAGTGAAGGACTAACAAATACTCACATACACACTCTTACTTTATTAAGCAATTATAGAGACTTACAGTCGATTTATGGGCTTCAGCATGGGCATTTGGTGCAATAGTACTCGTAGCGGTAGCTTCCGTAGTTGTTGCATTTTTATCATCACATAAAGCTAATCCAACTAACATTATAAGTAAACACATAAACACACAAACATAGCAATATGAGGGCCATGTTTCTTTAACTTTAAACTACGAATAGCCATGACTATTTCTTTCTTATATACAGAATTCTAGATTACCGGAACCACTGTATTGTACTTTTAGTATGGCCACATGACGTATGAAAGAAAAATTCAATTCAACTTTTGGGAACTGTTGAAGCAAATATTTCGTTGACGATAGCTTACGTTTGGTTATAAAACTAATTTGAATGCACGTTTTTCTGCTCTGTGCTCCTTAAATATAATGAATGTGTTATATGAATTCTGCTAGATATTATACAATAAGTAAAATGTATTTAGTGTACAGTGATTTATTAAAATAATATATATTATATCTGGGGACTTACGAAAGTATTTTACGTCTATTCCGTTTTCGTTTTATATAAAATGCCTTTATTCTTTATATATCTAAATATCTTATATCTTTTATCTTGTAGGACTGTAACTTTTCCAATATATTCATACTTAGTTACATTTAAATTAATGCTGTTTCCCAATTCTGTATTTTTTAAAACAACCATCTATTTCCACTCTCGCGGGCACACTTTCCATTTCTGAATTTAAATAAATATGTATTCAGTCCTTTTTAATGTCCCACTGGTGGGCACGGGCCTCCCTTCAATACGAGAGGGGATCAGGCCATAGTCCACCACGCTGGCCAAGTGCGGGTTGGCGGACTTCACATGTCTTTCGGAAACTTGCTAGGTTCTCTCAGACATGCAGGTTTCCTCACGATGTTTTCCTTCACCGTAAGGCAAGCGGTAATCATGTTAGAAATGATTCGCACATGAAAATATCAGAGGTGCGAGACTCGGGATTTGAACCCGCTTCACTCAGTGTCCCAAGCGAGCGTGCTACCACTGGGCTACCACTGCCTATATATATATAATATAATGATATTTAATCTCTAATAACTACGACTAGTTTCTTTAAAAAATAACCTGTTTTCTCATATTAATGGAATTTTCATGAAAAAATCTCTCTTCAATATGTAAAGTTTAATTTTAATCTTCATACGACCGTATTAGTGAGAAAGGACAGTAGTAACTTTAGTAATGTGACTATTTTGTTGAATAGCAACCTGAAAACTGCAAAAGGCTTGTCTTGAAATATAGTAAACTGCGTTTTAACTGCTTAATACCCCATGGGGACCAATCAGGATGTATCAGGATAAAAAAATAACCTATGTAACACTGTCTCGTACAAAATAAATTTATTGTAAAAAAAATTATAGCCGATCCGTTGCTCTGGCAATACCTGAAAGTAACGAAACGAACAAATATATTTTCATTACATTTATTAAAAGCTTTTATTTAAAACAGGTTAATAAAATTCTTTGTGAAAACGATTTAGTTAGTTAAAATTTCATTATCTGAAACATTTAATTATGTTTACGGAATTCTCAGTAAAGCGAGCATTTCCTCCGCTGAGAACTCACTGAGCATGCTAATTATTGTGTAACGTTTGCTAAGTGCGAATTGAGCCTCGCCCACCATCGTAGCTAGTGGTTCCTGTGAACCACTGTGCTACAGAAATCGATGATTTTTCATACTTTAATTTTATTTATTACTAGCATTGCTCGCGGCTCCGCTCGTGTTCAGATGACCAAAAAGCTAATTCTTAGGTTTTCCATGTTAGTATACTCTTACAATGCAGTTTTTGTATTTTTTCTCAGAAATGAGATATTTTCCCGCTGTAAAAAGTGTCCTATATGTTGACCCGGTTAACCAGCTATCATCATACCAAATTTCATCAAAATCGGTCCAGTGGTTTTTCTGTGATGCGGTAACAGACAGACAGACAGACAAAAATTCTAAAAACTGTAGATTCGGCCTCTGTATTGATATTAATTTCTATTTCAATAAGATTTACCAAAAAATATTTAATGTACAGATTCGGCTTATTTACAATTTTATTATATGTATAGATTATTTTTTTAATATAAAAAAGATTTTTTTATGAGACCACTCTTTACTTATCTATTAAAAAAATATGAAGATATCATGTAAAATACACATTACATACGATAAAAAACCACACACACACACACACATACACATACGCCCGAATTGTAAAGTCGGTCAATAACCAAAACGATATGTAAGTTTCATACCATTGTATATGTTATTGTTTACATTACGACATATTCCAACAAATATTTGTAAGCAAAATCGAATGTAATTTGTGTGTAAACGAGATGGTAATTTATTTTCGCTTGGTTGTCTATATTAAAACCATGTTTGACAAATACCCTTTGTTCTTCTTCTTCTTCTTCTTCTGCCTGGCATTATTAATCCCGGCTATTGCCAGGGTCTGCCTTCCTGCTTAGCCTCCTCCACTTTGCACGGTCTTTAGCATCATCCTGGGTAAGTCCATTGGCTCTCATGTCCTGCTTCACGACATCCAGCCATCGCTTTCTTGGGCGCCCGGGAGGTCTTGTTCCAGGGACAGATATATCAAGGCACTTTCTTCCGACATATTCCTCAGACCGACGCGCAACATGGCCATACCACCCCAGACGCCGCTCTTGGAGCTTATCCGCTACGTCGCGGACCCCGAGACTGCCCCGGATGAATGTGTTGCGTATGCGGTCAGCCCGCGTTATGCCACACATCCACCTCAGCATCTTCATCTCCGTGACGTGAAGCTCCTGAGTGTGCCGAGATAGCGCTGGCCAGCACTCGCTTCCATATAAAAGGACCGGTCGGATAATGCTCTTGTATATCTGTCCCTTGAGCTTGGGCGGTATTCTGCGGTCACAGACCACACCAGTGACCTCCCGCCATTTGGCCCAAGCAGCGCTTATACGGGCTTGAACGTCGTGGTCGATGCTTCCAGACTCGTGCAGGACGGATCCAAGGTACTTGAATTTCTCCGACTTAACGGCTGGTTCAAGCCCTATTTGGATGGTGCTAGAGTCTGAACTCCCGCAGGCCATGTACTCGGTCTTCGCCACATTTAATTTAAGACCGCCGTTTTCAAGCGTACCCTTCCATAGGTTTACCCTACGCTCCAGCTCCAGACGGCTCTCATCAACGAGTGCAATGTCATCGGCATACATCATTAGGTATGGAGGCTGGTCCTGGATGCATGCCGAGACAACATCTAGTACTACGTTGAATAAGAACGGGCTAAGAGCCGAACCCTGGTGGACCCCTACAGTGATCGGAAAGGGCTCGGTATCGCCAACAGCGGTTCTAACCACAGAAGCGGAGTTGCAGTACATGTCCCTGATAATGTCAATATAGGTTTCAGGCACACCCTTGAATCGCAACGCCCACCAAATGCATTGACGAGGCACACAGTCGAAGGCCTTCTGCAGGTCCAAAAATGCCAAATGCAGAGCTCTCCTTTTCTCCCTGTAAGCCTCGATCAAAGTTCTGAGGGCAAAAATGGCGTCCATGGTGCCCGATCCCGGCTGGAACCCATATTGACACTCAGAGACAGCACACTCTTGCCGGAGCCTGAGGTCGATCACGCGTTCGAAAAGCTTCATGGTGTGACACATGATTTTGATCCCTCTATAACTACCGCAATCCTGAACACTGCCCCTGCCTTTGTATATAGGGGTTATAAAGCTAAAACGCCACTGATTGGGCATCGTTCCAGTGTTCAAGATGCAGTTAAAGAGATCTGTAAGCATGTGCACACCAAGAGAGCCTAACGATTTCCACGCCTCGATCGGTATATCGTCAGGTCCCACCGCTTTTCGGTTCTTCATGCGGCGAAGACAATCCCGAGTTTCATCAGGTGTTATTGGGGCAACAAGTCCTAGGTTAGGGGGTGGTTCGGGGGGAAGACTATATGAGTGCTGGTTGTTCAGGAGCTCTCGGAAGTAGTCTTTCCATCTCTCCTTCACAGAGGCTTGGTTACAAAGCAGCGTGCCCTGGGAGTCCCTGACGCAAAGACATTTTGTGATATCTTGCGTCGCTTTATCCCGGGCACGTGCCAGCTTGTATATGAGCTTTTGCCCCTCCGCAGTTTCTAGCTTATCATATAATGGAGATAAGCTATCGCTGCGGGCTCTGGCTACAGCTCTCTTGCTAGCACGTTTGGCTGCATTGTACTCTTCTCTATCTTCAGGAGAGTTGGTTTGCTGCCACTCTTTAAACGCAGCCTTCTTTTCTCGAATCGCCCCCTGCACCTGATCATTCCACCACCACGTCTCCTTGTCGATGACTCGCCCTCCCTTAGAAACGCCAAGAACTCGCCTTCCTACCGCGGTAATTACTGACTGGGCTCGATCCCAAGCCTCCTCAGCGGTTTCGGTGTCAGTCGATAAATTTTGCTTCTCAACCTCCGCCAGGAAGTCCATCCGCATCGGTCCATTCAGTAACCACCACTTGATCCTAGGTTTGCGTTTCTCGGCTAGTTTCTTTTTCGGGGTAAACATATAGTCCATGACAAGGAGACGATGTTGGGCCGTTAGGCTTTCACCCGGAATAACTTTGCAGTTAGTCACCTTGCCAATATGACACCTTCTGGTCAGGAGATAGTCGATCTGAGTTGAGTGAGGACCGCTCTTATACGTGATAAGGTGCTCAGCATTCTTTTGGAAAAACGTGTTCACGATGGCCAGATCAGACGCAATACAGGTTCTTAGAATGTGTGCTCCCTCTGTATTGCGACGACCATAACCAAAACCACCGTGGACACGTTCATACGTCTCAGCAGCCTTACCCACATGACCGTTTAAGTCTCCCCCAACAACTATTACTTCGGTAGTCTGTATAGCGCGTAGTACCTCTTCAAACTGCTCCCAGAAAGATTCCTTCTCGGCCTCACTACAGCCTGCCTGGGGGGCATAGGCACTGATTAAGTTTGTGGTAACACCCTCAATCAGTACCTTTACCCGCATCAGCCGGTCACAGCAACGGTCAACTTCAAGGAGACCATTCCGAAGCTCTTCAGAAAGCACTATCGCTACACCGTTTTTGCCTGAAGGTGACCCAGTGTATATAAGCT